TATTGTTTAAAAATTACTGTATTGTTAGCTTAAAATGAACCCGAAGTATGATAAAAATGAACATTTATTAATAGGTTTAATGATTAATAATTAAACAATAAACATTTATTTAATTGCTTATTAATAAATGTTCACCTTGTGATTATTATTGTTGCCTCTAGTTATTATGTGTCAGATTTTTAATTTCTAACCTATTCTTCGTTCATTTTAAGCTAGTAATTTTTAAACAATAGTTGGGTTAAAAAAACTGTCCAGGAAGTTGGGCAAACATTTAACCCAACCTCTGGGTTAAAACAACCAAATCGCTGAGTTTGTCCATTTTTTACCCAGCTTGGGTTGTTTTTAACGCAGCATTTTTTAGAGTGTGCAGTCGCCGTGTCTTATGGTCAAATTAATCTAATAACAGGCCTTTCCTGCTCCCGGCTTTATTTATTCGCATGGATATCATGCATCACATTCAGATCACTGAAGTCGAGACCGGTTACCTGCAATAGTGAGACTCCATTTGTAGAATTCCACAGTGTCGTTGATTATATGCTTTAAAATATCCATCGCTGAGACTCAAATCTGAATGGTCTGAGAACACATAAGAAAAATGAGTTGGTGCAATGGTAAAAATAAAGCACACAATGGAAAGCCATGTGGCCATGCTTTAATACATCGGTGTGTAGTTTGGGAAAGGCTTTATTACAGTGATGGTGGGGATGGGGAAAGGCTTTATTATGATGGGGAGGAGGTGGGTGGGGTGTATTTCAGCATCAGCACAAAGACTAGAACAGCACGTGTCAGCAGCACAGATCTGCTCAACACGATCTGAATTACGATGGTAATAAATGACACATTATTCATGAAGAGATACACTTGCATCCGATTGAACACACTGTATGAAGGCCTATATGAAGGTTTCGGTCAAATATGTCGTTGCATATCAAACGCCACCAGCCTCTCCCAAATCACCATTAGAAGAACCCAGAAGGCTTTTATCATTAGTTCCTCTAAATGACGACAGGTTAACGAAATATGCGAGGCAAACATTCAGGGATCAATCGCGCAAACGTTTCGATGCGGCAAACGCGAAATATCCCTGCGTTTACAGTCTATTCTCTCGTATAGGCTACCCCTAAAATACATAACAACATCACAGACTTCAACATTAAACTGACATTTAGCGTCGTTACCGAATACGGTAATGATGATTTCCGTTCTTACCGTAGCGAGATTAAAATCTCTTTCTAATGACATTCAGCGCAAGGTCGCGCGCTCCCGTTATTCCGTGCTGGGAAGAACACCTTCTTCCCGGATTTATCCGGATCTGCTCAAAGGCCTGTGGCTGAAACAGACGGCAGTAAAAGCATCGGTGTGTAGAGCATCCTAGAGGGTTACTGGCATCACTGCGGCTCTCGGGTCGCTCCCCTAGACTCTCACAGCTATGAGTGAGCGCTGCTCAACTGCGCATGCGCAGAAACAGGTGCAATCCTCTTGATTTTCAAACCTTCAATCTCTACTCTGCCCTCAATTTTTGATGATGTGAGGTTTGATAAAACACTAGTGACTAGACAATCATTGATGATAATTTTATGTGAAGTGCAGATATCTGATGCATATTAATATAATGTAGCTATCAATTAATAGCTATCAATTAATATCTGATGCATATTAATATAATGTAGCTATAAGTATTGGATTGGCCTACTGTTTAATTTGGGCAAGTTGATAAAAAACTGTTGTGTTCGTATGTTTGCCCAAATTCATTAGGAATTACATATCCACCCTCACATAAAACAGGCAGAAAAAAACTGTGGTTTTATAGTTCATTCTTGAATGCTAATAACAGTGATGGGAGAGCAGCAGCCATTTTGTCTGAAATGTTCCATGATCCACAAGTACATTCCCAGCATACTAATTTTAATCATTTAGCTCATTAATTTGGTACAATTTATTAGCACTTTAACACACTTTTTATGTAAATTTACTTTAAAAATCACCTTTTCAAAATGTAATGCACCCTGCATAAAAACATTTAATTTGTTTCATTCATTAATTTGCTGCTTTAGCAATCAATTTCCTATTAAAGATGAAAATTAGTTGGTTGCAAGGCTGTAGCCCCTGGAGACTTGGCCCCTATATAGAATGGGAGAAATTGGGGCGCCCGGGAGCATAATAAAATATCAACTCCTATAAAACTAAGAAGGGCAACACATTTTTTTTCCATCTAGCCCAGCTCAAGCTCGCAGCCAACTTTGGGAGAGCAGCCTTAAAAACCTCAGTCACACTACATCGCAGATGCAGGACCAGAACCGCGGGGCTCAGAGACTTGACTCCTCTTACTCGTAAAGAGAGCCAAGCAAATGTCCAACCGAGAAAGTATTGCAGTGAGTGAATCATCCAGGAGTAGGGTGGCCATAACACCAAAAAGGAGGACACTTTGCGGCATTTAGTGAGGCAAGACTAATTGCATGGTGTACTCGCAACTACAATACTATTTTGTCCATCATATCGATGCTATCATGATACAGTGATTCTGAAATAGCCTACTCTATTCATTGCCAGACAGTTTGATCTACGGTATATCTACAATATCTTGATGTAGACCCATGTGTAACAGAAGAGGCAAAAAAGTGTTTGTTTACAGTATTTGTATTTATTCAAGACATTGTGATGTCTGTTTCAAAAACTGACCACTGAGACGAACCTGTCTTGCAAAGTGCAAAACATAACATTTCTGGACTTCTGGAAATAACAGAAATATACATAAATAAACAAATAATGAATGCGAAAAATAAATAAATACACATTTCAGTTCTTAACAAAGAAGTTCACCCTCTGCACCGTCTTTTGATATAAATTTGTGCTCTTTTGTCCATTCCGGTAGCCTGGGTTTCCTCATACTGCCTTTGCGCAGCGCGGTTTTATTCACGCTGCTAGGTAGTCTGGATACCATGGACCAGATTTTCGCCTCATCTAGGGAACCAATCACAGAACGGGGAGGGAGCAGCAAGACGATGACGACGTCTATGCGACACACCGAAGCAGTTTCTTTATACCTATGGATCCAACATGGCAGCAGACGCGAAGTTACCTTTCGATGCAGCCTTAGATATTGTTCTAAGTAGTTTAGAACGCAAATAAATCTCTGACCCATCGTCTTCTTCCTCGTCTAATTTCTTTCGCTCTACATGCGTCATCTGGTATGATTGAAACGATTGGCTATGAGCTACGTACAGGCACATTTGATAGACATTCATAGCACCCAATAAACGGCTCTGGGCATTCGTAAACCACGCCTCAAATACGAGAAAATGAACATTTGGTTCCCAGACCACGTCTCAATGTCAATGAGACGTGGTCTGACGTTAGCCAGGCTACCATTCTGGATTAAATGAGGTTGATTCTCAATCTTCAGGAGTAAAGCTGGACGCAGGGGAACACATCTCTTAAACTGTTTGCCTATCACACGACACAAGACAATCTTTGTACATGCTGTAATGAACTAACTCCGGACAAGGAACAAGACTTCACTGCCACATTCACACTGCTTTGTCACACAGCACAAGCGGCTTCCTGAAGACAAAGAAGCTAATGACATGTTTGCAGGCACTTCATTTATCCGCTCGGGCGCACTGTGGGGTATTGGCGTGAAGTTTCATGTGCCTCAGACACTGCATGGCTAAAGCATCAGCAACTGAAAGGGAACTATTAGATTAGATATAGGCTATGGATGCATATGTTTTGTAACTATTGTCCCCTTTTGGAAATGGATTTGGGTCTATATAAGTCGTGGTACCCAGCAAACATTTTTTTTTTTTTATTTTTTTTTTTTTTTACAATGTTATATTTTGACCAAAGAACTTACGAAATAATGTAACCAAAATAAAACATTTATAAGGTAAAGTAAATATCATATGTGTTTACTATTAAAACAAAACCAGAGCAGCCTGCATGCAACTTTTGTGAATCATTTTATTTGCGTGTCAAAATAACGTAATCTGCACTTTGGAATAATTTAAAAACAATGACAATACCAAAATACTACTAGGTCAAATCTTCTATGGCATAACATCAGCACAAATATAAGATTTTAGGGTCTATATAGTCACATGCTGTTGATCCGAAACAGCTTCTGGAACAAGAAAACAGGGCGGGACTTGAGGAACTGGATGGTTGTGGTTTGCTATTGGTTGATATTATGTGAGCATCCCTCGGGAGCACCGGAACTTTTTTCCCACTTCGAGCACTGACTATGACCTTGACATCATTATGGAGTAGCACAAAATACACACAAATTAAAATATGCTTTGAGATTCCTTGAACAATTAATATGCAACATGGCTAGCTTAGCTATACCAAAGTCCTGGCTATGCTACTGGTAATATTAAATAGTCATTATAATACAATAAAACACAGGATGTGGTCTCTCGATTGAAAATCTGAAATAACACAGAGCAATAAAGCCAGAGATGAACAGTATTTTAAAATGTATCGTCATAATAGTGTCCTAATTATTATCAATAAATTCAATGAGAATAAAAAGACACTGTATGGCTATTACCAATTAAATGAATCCAGTATCAACAAAATGGTTTTACACAGGCTACTGTTGGGCAGCTTTGACACATGGCATGAATACATTCAGATTCAGACAACAATTATAATTCCATAAATAATTTTGAAATTAATGTTTAAATATATTAACATTTTTTAATTTAGAAATATGCCTTGGCCTCACAGTGGGAATAGGCTACGGCTAATTTCTGACTGTCTGGCATATAACTGACAAATCAACCGAACGCACACGGGTAAAGGCGGGGCCGGAGCCCAATGTGGTCCATAAAAAACATGAATTGTCGATTTTGATTTTAAGTTGAATATTTAGTGACTCTAATGTTGTCTTTGCGCATAGTGTTTGTTAAACTATTAGACATTGTATTAGACATCTATCTTCACAGGAGAAACGTGTGGTGGCGGACTGCGCTGTGACGGGCAGAAGAAGAGGCTGTCCGAAGCGTCATTTCCGGTTTAGAGAAGTGCTACCAAGTAGCAAACAACAAAATGGAAGGGAAAAACAATCTGGACGATCTGGACGCTCGCCTTCAAGTTCTCGAAAAACGCGTTCATGGGGAAAGAGGAGGAAAAAACAATAAGCCAGTGAAGGTGATTCGCCTCAGTCACGCCTAAAGCCCTCTAACCGCTCTCTCTCTGTGTGTGTGTGTGTGTGTGTGTCAGTCAGTCAGTCAGTGTCAGCTGCGAGTGTTTATTGTTGTGGATTTGACAGATCATATTCACGACATAGTAGCATTCATTCTTGCTGACGATTATACGGTTTTAATGTGCATTGGTTGTCATAATTGCATGCTGGCATTTGGTAGGTGTTGTGATGCAGTAACGTTACTGAGAGCTGTTCACTTTGCGGGCGTGGCAGCAGACAAATTACACTAATAAACCTATGAAAAAATCAATAAATAAGATTAAATGAAATGAATAAAGTTGATTTCAAGAAATAATTGTTAAAATAATAAATAAATGCTTTAAAAAGTCATTTAATAAATAATATAGTTCCTAACCCGTAGAGTACAGTATAGTGAAAAAAAAGTCTTCCAAATAATATTTAAAACATATTTTTAATATACATTTGGGTCTTTATACATGGAAATATATAGCTGATTTAAAAAAATGTAGGATGGGGGTCCCTCACACAAGGATGATAATAGTTGGGGGTCTTTGGCATTTAAAAGATAGAAAACCCTTGATGTAAGACACAGACTAGATTTAATGTACCGCCACTCACTTATCATTCACATACTGTATAATACCATTTAAAGTTGCCATGAAAATGAATGCAGGTTACGAGGTTCTGATGGAAACAATGTGTCAAAATAGCAAAATTTCCTGCTGTGTGACACGCTGAACCTTCTTGCACAGCATTTTCTGAATTCTATTATAATTATTAAAATGACAGTTTTCATGAGTTCGAGATTACATGGAATATTTATACTTTAAAAAATAATTTGTAATGCTGCAGGACCATTCAAAACAAAACAATGTATGCAAAATTTGATCAAAAGTGATAAACTCCGATTGGTTAGGCCTAACAGTTTATTCGGTTTGACCCAAAAACTTGAGGTTGGGAAAGTACATGTCCAGTTGTAACTCTTCATATATAACCTGATTAACCTTTTGCTGGATTTATAATCTGTCTTTCCTTCCTTCAGTGTGCTGAATCACTCACAAGGATCAGTAGTGCTCTTGCAAACACAGCAAACAAGAGAGAGCGTGTCAAGATCCTTCACAAAAAAAGTGAGAGCCTCCCAATTAATCAGTAACATTTGTGATCAAAATCCTGTGTATGTTTTAATATGTTCCATCATCATTTATCAATTTATCTTTTCTATCAGTTGAAGATTTGCTGAAGTATTTGGACCCCCAGTTCACAGACTTCATTGCTGTGCCAGATGCAATGAAATTGGAGTTTATTCTAGCAGGTTAGTGCATTTTATTTACCCATGTGATTCCCAATTGGTTTTTGCTTCAGGACCCTGATTTTACATTGGACGTAAAGTATCACAATTGTGTATTGTACAAGCAAACACAAATTAAACAGGGCTACAGAGTCCAGACTAACTTTTTTTTTTTACTAGGAGCACTGTAGACCCTTACTGAAAATTATGGAAAAACATTTGACCATTTCTGCTATAATACCATGGTTACAGTTAACGTTGCTTTGCTCCATTAAATCCACGGTGAATGTTGGTGATTTGTGGATTGAAAAGCCTTCTATAACTTGTTTGTTCATGGCACAATGTTTCTCCTGGTTTCCACGTCAGCGTTATAAGGCCTAATCCTGGCTTAATCTAAGCCCTGTCTGTGAAACCAGGCCCATATCTTTTTGTATAGATTTAATTATTTCAACAATGTATTAATCTCCTCCTCCTTTATCTACAGAGGAAGAGTTTTTGCGTTCCCAGGCCACATTATTGGAGCAGGTGCACAATCTGCAGCCTCTTCTGGACAGCAACCACATTAAAGGTAAAACACTGACCATTGCTATTTGTTTCAAATATTTAAGTAACTCTTTTCTTATATTTTGAGGTTATCTGTATGTGTTAGTAACAAAACTGTGTGTCCCCCCCTTCTCATCTTGTTTTTACAGCGGTTCCAGAGTTGACCACTAAAGTGCAGCGGTTGTCACAAATTCACATTCAACAGCAGGTAACCACATTTTTTGTTCACTTTTTATACCTCCATTATCCTCTGTGCTCTCTTCCATGGGTGTAAAAAGTACTATGAAATTGTAAGTTAAAGGTGCTCTACGTAACTTTTAGCGGACTCTAGTGGTGATGTTTCAGATTGCAACCAAATTTTACAAGAGCGCTCGTGCTCGAACTCATATACAATACCGTCTATTACGCAAATATATCGGCGAATACTTGACGGATTCGGCGAGCACCGAGCTCGTTGGGACCATCTAGTCGAGCTGAAAAGAACCATATAAGTTCCATAGTTTTTGGTGGTGTTTTCGCGGAGATATTAGCAGAAAACCATCGGGCGCGCTGCAAAATTGCGGACGCCGGTGACGTCACGATCTCAGAAGAAAATCGCTCGTATCTCTGGAACGCAAAGACCCAGAGAGCTCAAATTCGGGGGAGGAGGTCCCAGGGGAACCCTTGCCCGAACGTGGCGGGCCTCGGGGATGCCCCCTACCGGATCGCCGTTTGCTGGGACCCCCGATTTCGAACGGCTATAACTCGGGGAGCCGGGCGAGTTGGACCTCGGGGGTGGGCTCGTTCGAAAGGCCCCGTCCAGCACTACGAACGATTAGAGTCTTGGGAATATTGATCAAAGATTGACTGAGATATAAGCCGAAAAACGTGCGCCTTTAACCGGACGTAACTCCCTGACCGTCTACAATAGACTGTATATAAGGAGAGAGGCTCGGGAGCGCGCATGCACGTCACATCCGTTGGATTTCGCGGTAAATCCGACCCGGAGACTTCACATAGAAATAGGAATACTGGCCTTCAGAGGTAATAGCAAAACTCGACAAGTGGATCATTTTAATGTGTGATTACAACCCCTTCACACACAGGCAATAAAAAAAGGATTCATTTTAGTAGAAAAGTTACATAGAGCACCTTTAAAGTACAGGTACTATGTTCCAAAAATGTTACTCAATTAAACGTCTACATTTAAAGGTGCAGTAAGCGATTCCTGTTAAATGCTGCTAATATTTGAAATCACCCAAACAAACACACCCCTACCCAAAAGGATCACACCCCAATCTTGATGCCTTCGCCCCCACATTCACATATACGCTACGCAACACAGGCAATGACTATGGCGAAATCTGTGCCTGCCGCCTAAGGGTATGACTATGATGTCATCAATAAGTGAAAGCAATTTGTGTTACTATGATAGTTCAGGTCGAATGTCTAATTGTTATTTAGCTCCTCTACTCCTTCGATGGATTAAGGGGTTATAGTGATCACTAAAAGGGATCTTTGCAGTGATCACTAAAAGGGATCCCAAAAGGACACACTTTGGGAGCCGATGCTTGAAACAGGCGATGGAGAAGGTTTATATGTTCCAGGCTGCTAATAATAATAATAATAATGCAAACGAACAAACAAGCAAAGATGACACAAGTATATTCAAGCAAAAGAAAGTATAACTTAGTTCTGTGAAACACTGCAAAACCAACATTACTCATGTATCAAGAAGAAATAAAGCAACATCAGTGCCCGTTTTCAAGCCTGCCCGCTCCCTAAAGGTGGGGTATGTGATTTACTTTTTTGACCATTTTTTCAAAATCCTATTCCTAACCCACTTACAGCCACTGAGTTAGAAGCACTGCAATGAAAATTAAGCAATTTAATCATCTGTGGAACGGGCAGGACTCGAAAAACTCCAGCCAATCATTTCCAAGACCACCTAGAATCATTGGACAGAAAATGCGTCAATCAAACGGTTGTACCATCCCCCCCTCCCCCAATCCCCCTCGCGCGTGTGTGTCCCCTTCGTGCGCATACTCAAAGCTCGTGACCCAGTCACAGTAAGTGCAAGTCGCCCCGGTACAGAGAGAGAGAGAAAGTGCAATCTCGCGCATCTGAGTTTTGCAGATGCATGATTGCGCGTCCATGCTCTTCGAATGGGTGGAGTCAGGGCCAGCGTTGGAGGAAAGAAGGTAGGACCTTTTGAGTTGTGTATTTTCAAAATCTGCCGGCCGTTTTGCAAATCCCATACCCTACCTTTAAGTCTCTCCAGTGCCGGAAAGCTTCTCCGATATTAAACTGGGTCCTACAACTTATCTGATCATAACTCTTTTTTTAAAAGTTATATTCCCCTGGCCTTTTCCTCCTTTGCATTTACTCTGCCATCTCTCTCTTTCTATAGTCGTTCTGCTAATGTCTGGAGCACTGATCTCTCTCCCCTCCCCCATCATGAGTGGACACGCCCCTTACTGCTGATTGGCTACAAGTGTGGTTTGGTGTTCTGTCCACTTTTCAACAGCATTTTAAAAAAATCGCTTACTGTACCTTTAATTGTACTTAAGTATTTAAAGAAGGCCTATTACGTTTTGTTTGACATTTTCAACATTTTTTAGTGTGTAATGTTGCTGTTTGAGCACGAAAAATGTCTGCAAAGTTAGGGTCCTCTCACGCAGGGTCCTCTCACGCAAGGTCTCTCACACAAGGTCTCTCGCTCGCTTTCCCTCTCCGCTCGCTCTAGATTCCGGGAGATTTTAACTAATTTTTGCGGCATAACTAGTCGATCACGAGTGGCTCAACAGGTAGATATATAGATAAACTCATCTTCCAGGCATTTGAGAAAGGGTTTGACCAGGTTGAGAAATCGGGGGTGTGGCGTGTGAAACCAATTAAATTTTGTGTCTCACGGCCAATGCGTGAGAGTTGGCAGCTCTGCATTAGTATAAAGAAAAAGAATATTTTTAGTATTGAATAAAGGAGAAATTATTTCATATAATGTATGCACTGGGTAATTTAAATTCTATATGAAATTGTATGGAGTCAAAAGTATAATTTTTACCTTATAAATGTGAGTGAAAGTACAAGTATTCGGTTTTAACAGAACACAAGTAATATACAGATTCCAAAAAATAATAAGGTAACACTTTATTTTATAGTGTCCTTGTTACAGCTACTGTAGTAATAACTATAAATTATAGTTTAGAGATTATAACTTATTTCATGCAACTAACCCTCAACCAAACCCCAATCCTAACCCTATAGTACATGTAGTTATTTATTATTACTCAGTACTTAAATACATAATTACACTGTAACACGATCACCTTAAAAGAAAGGGTTACACTTTATTTTAAGGTGTCATTGTTACAGTGTAATTTATATATTGAAGTACTGAGTAATAATAAATAACCACATGTACTATAGGGTTAGGATTGGGGTTTGGTTGAGGGTTAGTTGCATGTAATTATGCATAATTTACTGTTATTACTGTGGTAAGTACATGTAACATATGTAACAAGGACACTTTAAAATAAAGTGTAACCAATGATAATTATAGTAGTGAAGTACTATTACTCCAATACTTTTTACACCTCTGCTCTCTTCCTATGCACATTTGCAGGTGGAGTGAAGTAGGGTTTTCTTTTATAAAACTACTTGGATTTTACATGTATTTTAGCATTTGGTTTCACCATCACTAAGCGAGAACATGTTGTGAATCGTGCTGATTCTCTTTCCTATACAAACATATCTGATCTGTGATTGACTTCTACAGGACCAGAATGAAGAACTGTCTGCTGAAGTGAAAAGGCTGTTTGAAGAATACAACAAAATGGTATCCTTACTTGCAGTGAATGTTAAAAAAGACTGCTTGCCATGTGTTCAAAAGTCCCTGCGGCTAAAAAAAGCACACAATAATGCTCATTCTTTCGCATGAATGCCTTAGTATCCTTAACCTTTTCACAGATGATTCTTTTATCAAAACAGTTTTCACAGTGGGATGAAACTCTTCGTATGCTGGAAGGACCCAAGCAAGGCCCGCCGATAGATTAGGATTTGAATGCTTAGATTGATGTTTCATTTAGCAGTCTTCATTACAGATATGATTAATAAAACAGCACTGTCATTCCTAAACATACCTTGTTGTATCTAAGTGTTGTGTAAGGCTTTTGCCTACTCTCGATCTTGTACAAATATGCTTCTCTTTCTGTATTATTAAATAATGAAATGTTCATTACATTTGAGTGTACAAAAACACATTTCTCCTGTAATACGAGGTGCTTGGAAAATGTTTTTTCAACCATTCTCCTCTAAAGTAAAGAGTTGAGGGACTCGTTTTGCCTTTTAATTTATTTATTCCAGCAATTGTGAGGATAATGTGTGTATGAGGGTGATTTTTTTTTTTTTTTTTTACTGCCTTTAGAAAAGTTTCACCTCCTAAATTACCATAAATAAACCATCAAAGTGCTGTAGTGTTTGTTGTATGTCTTTTTTTTTTGTACAAAACATATTATGTGCATAGTATCTAGAATTTACCTTCTTATTAGTGACTTGCAGGAGACATTAAAGGGGTCATTACATGGATTTTTAAAATATTTTTAGCAGCTCCTTTAAGGCTTGTCAGTATACACAGCATCTGGAACAGGAAAAAATGTAGGACGGGTCTTGATTTTGTCCATTGGGAATTGATTGGATGGTTAGATGGTTTGCTATTGGTTGATCTCATGTGAGTGACAGGTTGCCCCGCCCTCACGCCAGTAAACACATCATCAGAGAAGAGAAGAGATGTCACTGCAAGAGGGAGAAGTTATTTTGATTAAAGATTATGAGGGCACATGAATTTAAAAATAATAATAAAATATGATGTGCATGGATAAATCATTTGTAATAAATACTGCAATATTCAAAAAAAAAAAAGAATTGGTAATCTTGATTTCATAGGGAATATAGAAACATATTTTTTATTAAGAACAACATTTTACCAAGTTTGTATGGTTTCAGTTATTTAAGCAATAAAATACGGTAAGCTTTTATTTGTCAGTGTTTAAGAAAGCAAAAGCAAAGAATAATTTTATTTACGAAATGGTTCAGAGGCAGATCATGGAACTGAACAGAATAATATTTGAATAAAACGTGCTTTATCTTTTTTTCACATCTAATTGTCATTGAAATAAAGCCTATAATTATATCAATTCCACATGTTGTAAATCTATATTTAGTTTCTTCATGGTTTTGTAAATCAATTCTACTCATCTTTACATGATCTAGCCTACAACGAAAAAACTTGTTTAGCTAGCAGTCTAAAAACGTTCTAGTGCATATATTACAGGATATATTCTATTATTTATATGAAACGCTTTTTTGTAGACATTTTCTTTTCTCCAAATCCTTCACCAGAACGCGCGCAGAATGAAAGTGTGACGTACAGGGAAGCCCCGCCCACCTTGCTGTAAAATGGTCACGTGGAATACAAACTGACCAACAGGAGCGCGCGCTTAGGGGAAGTGGCGAATTTTGAAACGGTTGTTGAACAAAACAATTACTCGATCACACCGTCAGATTTTCCTCCTTTCTCCGTCTCAGGGTAAGTGTTCTGCTTTAAAATACTTTTTTTAACATCATCCAAAATGCAATCAGTGCGATGTAGTGCGTCAACATGTTGATTTTCATTAATGTAATCAATAATGCACGATTGTCAACGAGGAGTGTTCTGTTGTAAAGCGAGTTTAGCCGGATAGCTGCTAGCAATCACCCGACACGGTGGAGCTGTTCTTCAAGTTATTAATCACAGCAAGACAAAAATAATTATGTCAAGTCATGAGTTTGATAAAATTAAGGTCTAGGATAAAAACTAGCTTAGATGCTGGTAGGCCATCAGACGTTACTCTTGTAGTTTTGGTGCATCATCATCAAAACAAACTTGAAATGTTATTTTTGCAAATCCTGGCCTTTGAAAGAGACCTAACATTTGGAAGTTATTTAGGCTTTGTTCACTTTGAATACGTTAAGATCCAATATGAATCAAAAGTCAGATGAGACATGTTTAAAATGACAGACAGATTATAGCATAAATACATAGACTCACTGAAGCATGGTGAATATTTCCAAAGATGTCAATGCTGTACAGTAATTGTGTTGTGTTTATGTTTGTTTTGTAATATGCATAAATAGCTGCATGCAAATAAAATAAGTACAATTGTAATTTGAATTAAACTAAATGTATCTGTTTTGGGGGATCCTGTTGCAGAGACCTTTAAAAACACTAAAGAAATTATTTCTTTATGAATAATTTTTTTTATAGTTAAGGTTATGTAAACTAATGTAAACATACGTTTTTATAGTTAAGGTTATGTAAACACTAAAATAAGCTTTTATTTGCAGAGAGACATATTCATGCATATATAGACTGAGGCATGTTGTCATTTCCACAGATGTCAATGCAGTTCAGTAATTGTGTGTGTAGTTGATGTTTGTGTTGTGTTGTGTTGTGTAGTGTACAGAGATGGATGAAGAAGAGAGTACTGAGCGACAGATGCAGATTGCCATGTTGTGTCAACGGCTGGCCAAGATGAAGAGATTATTCAATGATGGTAATAAATTGAATAATTGGGGAATGAATTTGCTAAATAATATTTTCAGGGTACGCACACTTTAAACCTTGCTCTATCAGGGAATATCAAATTTGGGATTTCCTCTAAAAATGTTATGGAAATTAAAGGGATAGTTCACCCAAAAATTAAAGTTCTGTCATCATTTACTCTCCCTCGTGTCGTTCCAAACCCTTAATACTTTTGTTCATCTTCAGAACACAAATTAAGATATTTTAATGAAATCTGAGAGATTTCTGTCCCTCCACTGACAGATACACAACTAACACTTTGATGCTTCAAAAAGTTCATAAAAGGGATTGTAAAACTAATCCAAAGTGGTAGCTGCTTAGCTGTCAATTGAGGATTTCTATCAGATTAGTCATTTGTGTTCTGAAGATGAATGAAAATCTTAAACGTTTGGAACCACATGAAGGAGTGTAAATGATGACAGACTTTTAATTTTTTGGTGAATTATCCCTTTAATAAAGTTAAGGACATTCCTCTAATTCCAATATAAATGTTCGTAATTATGCTCTGCGCTAAAATGTTTAATCTTTCTGAGAGCAATTTCTAAAATGTTTATTAGCAATCTTGATCCAGTAGTAATCATAAAATCATTGGTCAAAACAGGAATTCTGGGTTGTAATCACCCCGACCAGAACATTTACAGCTTTTCTTCCATACAGATGACACAGATTACATCAACCAGGCCATCAGTTCAAACTCACCTCAGACGTGCCGGACATTTCTTACCAATCTGGAGAAGAAAGGCAATCCTCAAACGGATCCCAGCCTTCTCGCTAAGCTCATCGACTGCTACACGCGTGTGTTTTCCAGCATGCCGTTGGGAAAGTACAGTCAGAATGAGAGCTATGCCAAGATGCTGGTCAGATTTGCAGAGTTAAAAGCGTAAGTTCCATCTTCTGTTTCACTCTGATTTAAAATTATTTATAGCATCCTTTTCCTCATTATGGAAGTTATGTGCATAATTATCGCAGTTTCTTGAACATGCTATGCCTTTTTATAAAGTCCTGAATTTGTTTTGGGGGTCTACTAGAATAGGTTTTCATCAGAGTTTCCGCTAGAAAAAAATGGTGCCGGTCAAAATTACCGGCAGAGGTTTCGTTTAACGGACATTTTGATGATATGCCGGTCAAATATCGCCTCTTAATTAGTCAAGTTGAGGAAAACTGGAGGCAGGCTATGTAACTTAAAAAAATGACATAATCAGGCCGTATAGAATGCAACATGTTATTATTAGCCTAACTTTCAAATAGACGGAAAAAAACATGAACGTCCGATTGGCGTCAATTAACACCAATTGTTTTTTACTATGGTTTCAGACACATTCACTTTTTGAAACATTGAGGCACGGATGTACCTAATACAAATAAATAACTAGTTAACATCTCCAGTTAACTAGCAGATCATTCATTTAGTTCGCTATTAAATAAGAGATCTAGCGCTAAAATCTGTTGTTTTTTAAATCAAGCTGAGCGCTCGTGTCCGCTGCTATCAGTTGCATGGACGACGCGCTGCGCGAGTTGCGCAATCTTCACTCGGACGCGCGTTTCAATCCATCGCCGTTTCGGAGACTCTACACAGGCGAAGCACTGCTACTTGGGCGCAGAGATATCACGCAACACCTGAAATAAAGCTTGCCACAAAGAACCGGCGAAAGTAATGATTATGCATGAAACATTTAAATTGTTGATAAATTGATAAAGTTGACGATGCAGACTCGCCATCTTCGCAGTAGTGAACGCGCCTAGAGAGAGAAATGCACACTTCATATTAGGGATGCACGATGATATCGGGACAACATCGGTATCGGCCGATAAAAGCTTAAAATGACCATCATCGGCATCGGCCAATATGAATATTTCTGCCGATGAGTCTTGCCGATAGGGTGGCGTGTTTCCTATGCGCATGTGACGACCGTGAACGAAGCATGAGCGCCAGCAACTTAAACTTCCAACTAGGGGTGTGCCGTGCGTCTCACGGTTTTTGATCGTGGACAATTAAAATGTCTCCACGATCTGCTTTTGAAGAAAAATCATAGTATCGTGCATTCTATCAGTTCAATTCTGGCGCCTTCATCTCAACATACTGTACAACGCGACGTACATTCACATCACATCACATGTAAACGCAGAGGTAGAGTTACACTCACGGGACACCGCAATTGACAAAAGTTCATTGTTTGCATGTGCGTCAAAGTCTTGCTAGGTAAACATGTCATTCACGTGCTGATGCGCTGTTCTAACATCCGCTTTTCTGAGCGCGTTACACCCGACGCTCACAGGAACTAAAAGCCTGTCACAGCGCCTGCAGACTAATCTTTCGAGTCTTATTGCGCTGATACTGTCAAATACACACAAGGTTTATAGAAACAAAGTTGGTTATGTCTAAAGTGAAAGCAAACAGATAAAATCTGCTTGTCAAATGCGTGTATATTATGCCGCATTCCAGGCAACCTGTAACCTGTGTTTTTCCAACTCGTAACTGGGAGTACATCGTTCCAGGCAACCTGTAACCCGTGTTTTTCCAACCTTATACCCGTGAAAGTGCACTGGAACGGCAGTCAAACCCGTGACTTCCCATCCGTGAACTCGTACTAGATCGATGTACTCCCAGTTACGAGTTGGAAAAACACGGGTTACGGGTTGCCTGGAACGCGGCATTAGACGCGTCGCGTTACTCGCGTGCAGTTCTTAAAGAGACAGTAATAATATTCTGCCGCTTGTCTTTAAAGAGATACTGCACCCAGAAATAAAAATTCTGTCTATCTAATGTTGTTTCAAACCTGGATTCATTTCTTTCTTGTGCTTAAATCAGGGTTCCCGCGGAGTCTTAAAAAGTCTAAAAAAGACTTAAATTCAGAAAGTGAAATTTAAGGCCTTAAAAAGTCTAAAAAACACAAGTTTAGGTCTTAAATTTAATTTACCCAAGTCTTAAAATTCTTACCTTCGTTAATTTTGTTAATTGTGGTCAAGCGTTGTCCGCCGAAAATAAAATGTTGGTTGTTTTGTTTTCTAGTAGGCTACGTGATGATGATAATCCCATGTGATAATCCCATTGCGTGATCACTGCAGGTATAACTCCTGTAAAGTAGGTGGCGGTATGTAACCCGCGCCGCCAATAAAGTGAAGGAAGTTGGTTCACTAGCTACCTGCCCGCCGAATTCGTGCAAGACAAGTTGCAACGTCGAGGTCGGGGAAGTCGGGGCTGTCGTCGAGCGCGTAGTTTTCAAATATCATGGGGACAGGGGAAGTGTGTGTTTAACATGACTTGGCTCGATAAGGGTGAGTTTTGCAGCTGGTTACAAGCTGTCCCTAGCAATAGATATGAAGCTCGCTGAAAAATATGCAAGAAGATAATACAGCTAGGGACATTGGGTGTGAAGGCGCTCGAGCATTGCGAAAACGTTTACGTGCGGACCGAACAAGATCGCTTATATAGCAAGATTTGGTATAGCGGACTTCATCAAGAGAGATCTAATTAACACCATTAGCGGACCGTATGTCTTGATGTTCGTTGTTTACTCATTAAACTGCAAGAAAGAGATGATAATTTGGTGGATGATTTAAAAATATTCGTTAATCATCTGTAAATTGTGTAGTCATTTGAATGTAATCATAACGGTCGCCTGAGGGCGCTCAACGACCACGTCATCCGTAAGCGTGAGTTTCTAACAAAAAAACAACAGTTTACTAAAAAGAATAAATACATTAAATAATTTACCATTGTTAATTTGTGTTTATTTTTGTTTGTTGTTTTTGTATTTAACCCTTTCACACGTAAATTTAAAATATTCGAACTGATCCCCCAGCGTGAGTTTTTCTAGGCGACCGTTATTTAGAACCTGTCACTTTAATGTTTCCATGATGACGCGTCATTGCTTGTCACGTGACACAGCGCAACCACAACAGTGCTGAATGAATGATGATCTGCTTTGATGTCATTTTCCCTTTTCTATTCAAAATATTCACAAATGTATTAGCTATAACATGAAACACTGATATTCCGATTGTCAAATATGTGCAAGTGGATGTGTTTTGTTGTTTAAACACCTTCATAACGATCGCGTTAGTTGATCGTTATGAAGGTGTCAGCACAAATCAGCTGTTTGTGCGATGGGCGGCGCCATGTTAGTTTACAACACGTCAATTCCTCAACTTCTCACGAAATACATGAAAGTGGCCGGAGAACTGGGAGAAGAATAGTTTAAAATGTAAAGCTATTTACACAATGTGTATCTGATATGAATAAAACGTGTCGTCTTATTAGAATGGAAAGGATTATTATTGCCGCTTCCATAGACATCAGTCAGTGTGTGTATTTTACAAACTTAAAATATGTTTAAGAATTTCTGGGATCATTCTAATGTTTCTATTTATGTGTCGTGTTGGTCTTAAACTTTACACATAATGGTCTTAAAAGGTCTTAAAAAGGTCTTAAATGTAACAAACTGAAACCTGCAAGAACCCTGTTAAATATACTATGGAAGTCACTGGAGTACAGCAACTGTTTGGTTAGCCACATTCTTCCAAATAACTTTTATAATTTCAACAGAAGAAAGAAACTTGAGAGAGTAAATGATGACAATTTAAATTTTTGGGAGAACTATCCCGTTAATGTTAATAAAACAACAAAACACAGAGAAAATCACTCACTGCTCTTGACTGAGAATATTAATAGAAGCTTTAATAAGCTTTTTTTGCACTTAAAAAAAATACAAATATATCGGTATCGGTATCGGCATCGGGCAAAATTAGTTTGAAAATATCGGCATATCGAATATCGGCCAAAATCCTATATCGTGCATCCCTACTTCATATGAACAAATTCTTATTTTTTAATCCAGGAAAATTTGTTGACGAAACATTGATTAAAATGAAGATACAATTTATTATTCTCAAATTCATATTGTGTTAGGGGGGCGGGATTATTACGCAATTTTAATCGGACAATTTGACCGGAGAGATTTAATTTTGTCGGACATTTCATTTTTTTCCCGGCCAATGTCCGGTAATTACCGGACAACGGAAACCCTGGTTTTCATGCTTGAATGTTACACATACACTCACCTAAAGGATTATTAGGAACACTTGTTCAATTTCTCATTAATTCAATTATCTAATCAACCAATCACATGGCAGTTGCTTCAATGCATTTAGGGGTGTGGTCCTGGTCAAGACAATCTCCTGAACTCCAAACTGAATGTCAGAATGGGAAAGAAATTTAAGCAATTTTGAGCGTGGCATGGTTCTTGGTGCCGGACGGGCCGGTCTGAGTATTTCACAATCTGCTCAGTTACTGGGATTTTCACGCACAACCATTTCTAGGGTTTACAAAGAATGGTGTGAAAAGGGAAAAACATCCAGTGAGCGGCAGTCCTGTGGGCGAAAATGCCTTGTTGATGCTAGAGGTCAGAGGAGAATGGGCCGACTGATTCAAGCTGATAGAAGAGCAACTTTGACTGAAATAACCACTCGTTACAACCGAGGTATAGTGTTGCACGGTGCACCGATACTTCAAAAGTATCGCGATACTCGGAAATTAAAAACCTCACGATACCTAAATTTATTAGTATCGATACTTCTAAGAATGGCCGCGTTCCAGATTTGTAAGAGAGTATTGCATGTTGGTGTGTGCAACGCACGCTTCCAGTGCCTCCCAATGGACGTCTGTGTTTTTCTCCTCATGCGCGTGTGACAGGGCGCGTGAACTGAACGAGCAGAGAGAGAGACAGAGTGAGCGAGCCCCGGTCGCGCGCGCGCACTCTCTCTCTCTCTGCGGAGCCAGGCGAAAGTATAAAGGCTTCACCGTCTCAAAACTAAGCGCTGTCTTGCTCTCTCTCTCCCTCGCACATATTAATCAAAATAATTCGACACGATGGTAAGGTCGGGAGACTAAAGTTTCATGTGGAGCATTCAGAGTTTTTTTTTTTTTTTTTTTTTTTTTGAATTACCGCTGGGTGTAAATTGTGGTAAAATACGTTGCCTTATCTTCTCTGAATCGTTCCGCACATTCAGCTGACATAAACCACACTTTAAATAAACGAAAAAAACTATCCAGTCATGAAATGTTTTCTGTGATGACAGTGGGATGTAACCGCCTGGATAATCACACAACGCGCACACGTCCGATAATGACACGTCCAATTCGCGAACTAATGACTCATTTGAACCGATTCGTTTTAATGAATGGTTAAAACAACTGATCTGTCTGAATCGGTGTATAACTAATCGTTAACACTTTGTAATAAGGTTTCATTTATTACATAAATTACATAAAACAAATAAAAACACTTGTTTTTCCCCCCGAAAAAGCATATGACTACTTTTTTCCACACAATGCTATCATGAATCGATAAGAGAATCGTTAAAGAATCGGATCGATAAGCAGAATCGTCAGTGGCATTGATATTGATAAAATCTTATGTTTCTTATGATAACTGAGATAATGCTGCTAAATTTATTTATTTTTTTACCTTGAATGTCATTGCTCTAATTTATTTTTTATATTTTTCATATTTCATATTTTGTTCAAATGGTTATTATAGCCTATCTGCTGTTCAAATGTTCATTTATTAGTGTGTTATGATTGGAATGTTGTCCCAGTTTTAAAATAAAGCACAGCAATGATATTTGAGAGTGTTTCTCCCTTTTCAGGAAAAGTATCGAAAAAGTATCGAAATCGCAATTCTTGACTTGGTATCGGTATCGAAACAATAATTTTGGTATCGTGACAACACTACCGAGGTATGCAGCAAAGCATTTGTGAAGCCACAACACGCACAACCTTGAGGCGGATGGGCTACAACAGCAGAAGACCCCACCGGGTACCACTCATCTCCACTACAAATAGGAAAAAGAGGCTACAATTTGCAAGAGCTCACCAAAATTGGACAGTTGAAGACTGGAAATATGTTGCCTGGTCTGATGAGTCTCGATTTCTGTTGAGACATTCAGATGGTAGAGTCAGAATTTGGCGTAAACAGAATGAGAACATGGATCCATCATGCCTTGTTACCACTGTGCAGGCTGGTGGTGGTGGTGTAATGGTGTGGGGGATGTTTTCTTGGCACACTTTAGGCCCCTTAGTGCCAATTGGGCATCGTTTAAATGCCACGGCCTACCTGAGCATTGTTTCTGACCATGTCCATCCCTTTATGGCCACCATGTACCCATCCTCTGATGGCTACTTCCAGCAGGATAATGCACCATGTCACAAAGCTCGAATCATTTCAAATTGGTTTCTTGAACATGACGAGTTCACTGTACTAAAATGGCCCCCACAGTCACCAGATCTCAACCCAATAGAGCATCTTTGGGATGTGGTGGAACGGGAGCTTCGTGCCCTGGATGTGCATCCCACAAATCTCCATCAACTGCAAGATGCTATCCTATCAATATGGGCCAACATTTCTAAAGAATGCTTTCAGCACCTTGTTGAATCAATGCCATGTAGAATTAAGGCAGTTCTGAAGGCGAAAGGGGGTCAAACACAGTATTAGTATGGTGTTCCTAATAATCCTTTAGGTGAGTGTAATTTTCAATAAGTGCGTTTACATGCACGTTCTTAAACCGGTTACACATAATAAGCGACAACACGTGTGGTCATGTAAACGCGTTAAACCGTTTTCCTTTATTGGCTTAAGGTCATAAACTGCTTAAGAATAAACCGATCGACACAGCGTCAGTTTTGCCTGGCATGTAAACGCCTTAATCTGCGTTCTGAGTGTAATACATGAATGCTTGCGTTTTGACGTCACCACCGGGGAATAACCAGTTTTTTTTAATAATACAGATTTGCATGTAAACTAGTAAAAGGGGTTATTTCAATAAACTGATTTTTGGTAATTATCATCGCATTGGTGTGTATGTAAATGTGCTCATTGTTGCAGCTCGTCTCTTTTCAATCTGTCAGTAATGCTAAGTTTAGATCCTGTCTCAAGCCCCTGCTTCCGGGAAGTACAATGTGCTCTGATTGGTCGTCTGGTCCAGTATGTTGTGATTGGTGAACGAAATGTCACGCCCCTTACCATAACAGCTAGTTTCAACACACTTAGGGGTGTCACGATTCTCCAAATCTTCGATTCGATTGAATTTTCGATTCTAAGGTCACGGTTCGATTCTCGATTTTTTTTTTTTTTTTTTTTTTTTTTTTAAGCACAGATTGCTATGCCTTTTTTAGAATATACTTTTATGCAATATAATATCTGACCTTTGTTCGTAATGTCCCACACTACATTGTCAAATTGAAAACATTTATTAACAACATAAAGTGCTTATAATATAATATAATAGGCCTACCTTATATCTTTAGTCAATTGGAAACTTGAGCAAAATAACCTGCCATATTTTGCCATAACCTGGCATACGCAGATTATAAAATCAAATCAGTCATTTTAAACTGTCAGCGAAATGCAATTTCACAAACAGCGTGAGTGTTCAGCGGTGCCGCGTCTTCTCTCTCTCTGTCTCTCAAAATGGGTTGCACAAGGCAATCGTCAAGCGCGCTGCTCTCACGTTTCGGGAGTCGTGACATGACGGAATTGTCACTTGCATAATCGGGCCAGCATTGCATCGTGAGTAACTAAAGTTTACCATTTGCACATCTTTTTAAGTCTCACCAGTTTGAACATTCAAGCGATTTTAAACTATTCAGTACTCGTGCGCTCTCTGAGAGATGGTTTTCTTTGCACACATACATAAAGCCGCCTCGCAAACAGGCAGATGACGACATTCAAGTTCACAAAACAAACAAACAGTTGTTGATTTAACAGATAAATCCAGTGGAAAAACACGCGTGTTTTTTTCCGTGATGGGGGCGTGGGAGCATCGACGATTCCATTTTATTCGAAGTTCGAGATTATGACTTAATTTCGATCGATTTCGATTTAAAATCGAAATCGTGACACCCTTAAACACACTACTAACGAGGTCTGGGTATCGAGTTCGATACTTTTTAGGCACTGACTGAATTGCATCTTTACCATCGAGTATCAAAAAATGTCTTGTCGTTCGGTACCTAAGGGGTTAATCTTGTCAACGTCAGTGAGCGGAAAAACACTAGTTTACGCTGGTTATGCCCAGAGACGTGGCTCACATGTGAGGCTGTAGTGTGTAAGTGACTAAGCGTCCCAACCCTATACAGTAGATGGAAAAGATGTGGAAAAGGTCAAAAGTGTAGCTACATTTCACCAGGCTCGATGCAATATTTGCGACAAGATCATTGCTGCCAAGACCGACAACACAACAAATCTGATGAAGCACTTGACAGCGCACAGAATAAACTTAAGAGCAGAAAGTTGAGAGTTGCTCCGACTTCAAGAAGAACTGGAGCGCATCACAAATGAACCAAACTCGGCGAATAGGATACTTGCCTCTCAGACAGGAGAAACAGGCCTATAGAAAGCTTGAAATTTATACTTTTAAACAAATCAATTTTGAATCGAAAACAAATACTCTCTGATCATGTAATCCAAATGAGAGGTGCATTTCTCTCTACAGGCGCATGTTCACTATACTGCAGAGATTACTAGTCCGCAATATCAACTTCGTCTTTGTAGTCAACACTGATTTATTAATAAACAATTAAAATGTCTCCTTGCTATTTTTTTCCCTGACACATTCATAATCATTAGGCTACTTTTGCCAGTGCTTTGCGGCAAGCTTTATGAGCGTGTGTTTGAGAGCGAGGCATATATTCCTCCTCCCAGTGGCTATATGAGTCTGTAAACAAACTGAAAAAATAAAACTAAAGGTCAAAGTTTCAATATCAATTTTTTAACTATACCCAGCCCTACCAACCAGACCCCGCCCCTTTATTTTGCATATATCTTATGCGGGTATTAATTCAATTCAATTAATTTATTTGTATAGCGCTTTTCACAATACATATTGTTTCAAAGCAGCTTTACAGAAAGTGCATTTCATAATTATTCATAAATATTATTTAAATAAGGAATATTGTGACATGTTCGTTCCCTGGAAGAAACCTCATGACTGATGGAGGCGTTTCAGGGAGTTCAGAAACAGTGACACTATTTAAAGAAATAGTTTCACCCAGAAATGTACAATGTTTTTTTTGTGTGAAACACAAAAGGGGAATATTTGAAGATTTTTCAAATAGCTTTTTTTCTCTCTGAACACATGCAAATAATGTGAGGATAAGAAAATAAAGACGTTTTGTTTTGGGTGAACACTTATAAAAACATAAGTATAAACAACTTTTAATTTAGTTTTAAATGTAAGTTTTATTGTATTAGTAATGTCTCTCTTTGCCAACAGCATCCAAGATGTAAATGATGCCCAGGCTAGTTTTGATATAGCGAGATCCCACTGTAAGGATTTCGCCTTCGTTCACATTGCTTATGCTCAGTTTGAGCTTTCACAAGGTAAGGAGAGTTTAGTGACAAATATAAGACATATTTAGCTTTTGCCTCTTTCAAAATGTTTGCTAATTGAGAACACACGGTCATGAAGTTTCTTTCATTCTCCCCAGGCAACTTTAAGAAATGCACTTCGATTCTTCAGAAGGCTTTTGAGATGAATGCCAAACCCAGGCACGTTCTGGAGGCTGCCGTGCAGAATCTAAATCTAGGCAAACGCCAGCTCCTCTCACAAGAAGATAAAGAGAACATATCAGGTTTGTGTAGGCTACGTTTATGATGTCCATTTTGGAGCATGGTTGTGATTGCATTGAAAAATATGACTAGTGCATTTCTGCATTATTAAAAAATTGACAGAAGAAAGTAACAATACCTGGTTGTAATAAATGAGAGAATTGTCATTTTTTGGGTTAACTATTCATTGATTTGTGAAGTTTTGCTGTAAGCATTTGTTTCTAATATACTGCTCTATGTAATGCATGCTTTTGCTTTCTATGAATCATGCTTGACTTGTGAAATCTCTCTAATATCTCTCAAGATTCTGTGAGAAGCAGCTCCAGAACATCAGATGGAACATGTGACCTGCAGGCCAGCAGCACTTTTCCCCAGGGGTATGACATGTTTATCTCATTTATGCAGGGTTCATGCAAGGTCCTTGAAGTACTTGAATTTTTGAAATTTAAGTCCTAAAAAAAAAAAAAAAAAAAAATATATATATATATATATATATATATATATGAAAAGGTACTTGAAAAGTAATTTCACATATTATGTCTTTCAATAATTCAAGCAGTGTTTAATTTTATTGATAAAACAATCTTTTCACGCAAAATTAAAGTTGCAGCCCATCTGATATAGATGTAGAACCATTTTGCATGTATTTGTCATTGACAAATATCTTATCTAGCATGATATTGCTCATGTAAATATCCAAGTATATGATACAGCTTTCATTCTTCAGGAGAGAAATTAATCACATATTTATTTATTTATTTCAAGCAAAAATAGTGTGAAAACAGAAAAGATACACAATAATAAGAACTTATACACTTATGCTTGAAAAAGGAGTGGGAAGAAGTAAAACTTATTAAACCCCACCCCAGTCTATCAAAGAATTTATACAAACAAAAAATAGCTGCTTCCTTCATCAATAATCTCAAAGAGAAAAAAATAATATTCATGCGGAAAAAAAATCAGTTTGAATAAGGAATGATATATAGTATCCTTTCAGTGGTTAAAATAACCAGTCATTGCATGTGCTGCACTTTATTTGTACCATTTTATTAGTTTTATTTATCTATATACCTTTTTTTATAATTTGAAGGATAATACATATATTGTTTTATAAGTGAGATCTCTGGTTGTCGTCCTTGAAAACCAAAAAAGTAGTGCTTGAAAGTCCTGGAATTTCATCTTACAGTATCTGTACGAACCCTGTTTATGGGATGGCCATGTCAAATTAAGCAACATAGTGAATATCACAATTTCTTTTTTTTTAATAAACATTTATATTTAATATTTATATTTTGATATATATTGAATATTATTTTATTAAAAGGCGAAAAAAGTGCACATATCGTTCAAAAAAAGTATCTCATTACAATGCCATATATCATTAAAACATTTTTTAAGAAATTTATTATTTTATTCAGTTAGGAGACAATAAATAGATTAAAATTAAAAGTAAAGACATTTATAGTTACAAAAGATTTATATTTTAAATAAATGCTATCTTGTTTGCTTTCTATTCATCAAAGATTCATCATCTTTCAACACATGTAGCAGCACAACTGTTCTCAACATATATATATATATATATATATATATATATATATATATATATATATATATATATTAGGGATGGGACGGTATGAAAATTTCATATCACGATTATAGTGACCAAAGTTATCACGATTATCAATATTATCACGGTTTTGTTAAAATGAGATGGAAATGTTAAAAAAGAACTGATGCTCACCATGAAAACATTTGAAAATCAACAAACAAAAAATACAATTAGCAGGCTATAGCAGCTATATGCACTTTTTTAAACATAAACATTATATTAACATTAACATGGAGCCTTGAGAGTGAGAGGTATAAGTTTTCCTAGTGCAGTTTTTAATGAACCCGTCATTAAACCCTATCATTAATAATGACAATAACACTTATGGATGTGTGTATGACTGAATAGTATTATTATTAATAAATAATAAATCACTTTCTCTCTCTCTCTCACACTCACTCACACACACACACACGCACGCACGCACGCACACACTCTTTAAATGAACAAAATATGTTGGTTGGGTCAGGGTGACTAAACTACTGGAATACTTATAATGACTGTTGTACATTGCAACGCACTACACAGCGCACATCCTGTCTCGGATCACCGTGGACGCAATCTCTGGTTTCATTCAAATGTGTATGTCTTGCGTCTCAGTTTTGATTGTATTGAAAATTAAATCAGAGTAATTTAGTATTAATACTACTACAATATTGTTGTAGTGATCACATTTACTTTACGATCGGCAGCAGGTACGTTGCTAAAGCACCCAGTCAAAAAGATTGTTGCAGTACAGAGAGGTAGGAAACTTGCAAGGGGGATAAAAAAAAAGTCCTATAAAAAATAAATAAAAAAAACACTTTCTTAAAATACACTAAATTAAAATCAGAAATTAAAATCAGAAACGGAGAAGCGGCGAACAGACAGCGCCAGCGTCCTCTCTGTCCTCATAATGAAACAATTCATCTCCAAAAATTTTTTTTTCTAATTATTTGCCCAAGTTAGTTGTGGTATTAAGGTAAAAATTAACTTAGTGGGTGGTTGTCACGTAACGTTAGATGACTTGACGTGTTGACGTGTTTCCCCCTTTTGCAGCGACTTTCCTCTTGCAAGATTTGCAGACAGGGTGCCCATCCTCGATTAAATTGCCCTCGGGACTCTTGTAATAGCCAAAATACGACCATACCTCCGATTCTGTCCTCTTGGATGGCTGAAAAATCTCCCGTGCGCTGTCACTGCCTTCCGCCATGTCTTCTTGCGCAAAAAAACAACATTGCATCTGCGCGCCTGCTCGCGCCTGCGTCAGACTGATTCTGGCTGGACAGGATTTACCGCGAGTTTTCAAAATCACGATAATCAAACACGGTTTTTATGATAATTAAATTTTAAACGATAATACTAACCGCCAGGACATTTTATCGTGGTTTATCGTGAAACCGGTAATCGTCCCATCCCTAATATATATATATATATATATACACACTCACCTAAAGGATTATTAGGAACACCATACTAATACTGTGTTTGACCCCCTTTCGCCTTCAGAACTGCCTTAATTCTACGTTGCATTGATTCAACAAGGTGCTGAAAGCATTCTTTAGAAATGTTGGCCCATATTGATAGGATAGCATCTTGCAGTTGATGGAGATTTGTGGGATGCACATCCAGGGCACGAAGCTCCTGTTCCACCACATCCCAAAGATGCTCTATTGGGTTGAGATCTGGTGACTGTGGGGGCCATTTTAGTACAGTGAACTCATTGTCATGTTCAAGAAACCAATTTGAAATGATTCGAGCTTTGTGATATGGTGCATTATCCTGCTGGAAGTAGCCATCAGAGGATGGGTACATGGTGGCCATAAAGGGATGGACATGGTCAGAAACAATGCTCAGGTAGGCCGTGGCATTTAAACGATGCCCAATTGGCACAAAGGGGCCTAAAGTGTGCCAAGAAAACATCCCCCACACCATTACACCACCACCACCACCAGCCTGCACAGTGGTAACAAGGCATGATGGATCCATGTTCTCATTCTGTTTACGCCAAATTCTGACTCTACCATCTGAATGTCTCAACAGAAATCGAGACTCATCAGACCAGGCAACATTTTTCCAGTCTTCAACTGTCCAATTTTGGTGAGCTCTTGCAAATTGTAGCCTCTTTTTCCTATTTGTAGTGGAGATGAGTGGTACCCGGTGGGGTCTTCTGCTGTTGTAGCCCATCCGCCTCAAGGTTGTGCGTGTTGTGGCTTCACAAATGCTTTGCTGCATACCTCGGTTGTAACGAGTGGTTATTTCAGTCAAAGCTGCTCTTCTATCAGCTTGAATCAGTCGGCCCATTCTCCTCTGACCTCTAGCATCAACAAGGCATTTTCGCCCACAGGACTGCCGCATACTGGATGTTTTTCCCTTTTCACACCATTCTTTGTAAACCCTAGAAATGGTTGTGCGTGAAAATCCCAGTAACTGAGCAGATTGTGAAATACTCAGACCGGCCCGTCTGGCACCAACAACCATGCCACGCTCAAAATTGCTTAAACCACCTTTCTTTCCCATTCTGACATTCAGTTTGGAGTTCAGGAGATTGTCTTGACCAGGACCACACCCCTAAATGCATTGAAGCAACTGCCATGTGATTGGTTGATTAGATAATTGTATTAATGAGAAATTGAACAGGTGTTCCTAATAATCCTTTAGGTTAGTGTAATTTTCAATAAGTGCGTTTACATGCACGTTCTTAAACCGGTTACACATAATAAGCGACAACACGTGTGGTCATGTAAACGCGTTAAACCGTTTTCCTTTATTGGCTTAAGGTCATAAACTGCTTAAGAATAAACCTATCGACACAGCGTCAGTTTTGCCTGGCATGTAAACGCCTTAATCTGCGTTCTGAGTGTAATACATGAATGCTTGCGTTTTGACGTCACCACCGGGGAATAACCAGTTTTTTTTTATACAGATTTGCATGTAAGGTGAGTGTGTGTGTATATATATATATATATATATATATATATATACATACATACATATATACACATCTATATAATGCACTTGCATAATTTTTTCCTGTTACCTGGAAAATCATCATATTAGAGTGATTTCTGAAGGATCATGTGACACTGAAGACTGGAGTAATGATGCTGAAAATTCAGCTTTGATCACAGGAATAAACTGATTTCCATTTGTTTTAATATATTTTAAAATGTAGTCATTTCACTGTTGTTTTGCTTTTGTAGAGATAAATCATTTAGTTCAGTTGGACAACAGACGCTACAATTATAAATGCTCAGGAGTCAGATGCTTGACTGCTTGACTCAAATGCTTGACTTATCACATGAAGATCGTAAGGAGAGATGACTTACAGGACGACGGTGGAGGATTTGGGCGCATTAGATCCTGACCGTCATTGACTAATATCTCATCTTGTAAAATGTGCGGACGGTACTGGACGCCGTCCCCTACACAGAGTAGCCTACATGTGACTGCGAATTTGAACAAACAAACGCACATTAAAAGGCGATTTCAATACCCCGCATATTGATAGGGGCTCTCTGATATCCACAAATTAAAGGTCTATGTACATGTGATTGCGTGTTATCGAAATTTCTTCACCGTAACATCCCCATTTCACAAGACAGAATTATTTATTTACCGTAAAGAAATTGATGATGTTACACATTCTGAATTCCAGGAGTGATCAGAAGTTCAGTCCACAAGATGAGAACATGCCTGTATGGAGAACAGGGTCACAACAAAGAAGAATGGTCATGGTAAGGTGTGAGAACAACAGCAAACAACATTTGAAAGTGGAATTGTGGACTGGACTGTACTTCTGTTCACTCCTACAGGCAGAACGAGTGCCCATGGTGCCTCTCTCTATCCCTGAAAACGAGAGCAATGACTGTGACGGTGTTCAGAAAGCGGAAGCTCCTGTTACCTACAGTTTCTCCAGGTGAGAAATGTGAATCTGTGAAGGGGTGGGTGATATGACCAAAAGCAAATATTGCTAATTTGATTATTACTATAAGCCAGTTAATTATGTACTTCTGGGATTTAATTTTTCTGTATTTATAGATTTTTATCCGACCTGAAGAATGACAGAATGAAGAATGAGTTTGCTGGGAGTTTTTAGATGCGTTTTAGATAAAAAAAAAAAAACATGCATTTTAAAAGTACTTTATAACAGTACAACAGTGTTTGCAATGGTAATATTTCTTTATTGATTTTTTTTTTGTAGTATTTAAATAATACAAATATTTTGAAGAATTATAAGGTCTTACTTTATTTTAGGTGTCTTTAACTACTAACACTTAAATTAATCATTTGATACAATAAACTAAGTGTACATACATGTTTTTACATTGGATTTAAAAATACCTGCATGTAATTACAGTAGTAATTAATTTCTGTAAATGTATCTATAATTACACTGTTGACCTTCCCTTACATTTTTAACCCACCCTTAAACCTACCCATACCAGCAAACCCGTCCTAACCTTACCCGTATCCCACCTCAATCACAGCAAAAGTGTTTTGCAATGCAATATGAACAGCAATATGTTGTAAGTACATAGTAGTTAAGGACACCTACTATAAAATGTGAGCAATTAATATTATTGTGTAGTCATATTGAATGGGGGTGGTGGGGAAAAAATAGTTTCCCATGCTGGTACTCAACCCCTTGTCTATGTCTTTTGGTATATGACTTCCCCTTGTGCCCTCTAAAAGAGCGCAATAGTCGTGGTTGTCTGTTATAATCACGGTTAGATCAAATAACTTTATTTAATAAACACAATAGGCCTATGTACTGGGATATGACCCTGTGTCAAATTTCCTTTTTCTTTATAAAGCCTTAATGTTTGATTTTCTACAGGCAAACAAGTGGTTCAAGTGTCCGCTCCGCATTCCCGATGTGTTTCTCAAAGAAGGGCACTCCAGATGGAGACTCCTACAGTTTATTGAACCTGAAGGTATAAGACTCCTCTGACCTTACTATAGACATAAACTCACTAGTGCTGAGAGTTATGAGGCATAATAACATCACTAGTTTTATTTCAAGTCCTCACCGTACTGAATAGTGTCTTCTTTATGCAGCCACCCATGATTAGTCCAGATCATCTGAGGGAAGACATTGAACAGGGCAACACCATCACAGCACTTCTACACAGAGCAGAAAGAAGAGAAACTGCAAGAATGGAAGGTAATTTTTAATTAAGATATTAACTGTTTTAAAGGAGTAGTTCACCCAAAATGTGTTATGTCAAATTCAATTTTAGTCTGATCCCCAGACAAAGCCATCATATGACTTTGGGTTTGTTCAAGGAACTTTTTGTTGTAGTGCACTCCTTTCTTCAGAGGTCTTCTTTCTTCCATAGAAACCACTGATATCAACCAGCTCATCAGCACAAACACTCCTGAAGGTTGTCAGAGCTTCCTGAAGAGCCTAGAGAAGAGAGGAGACCCTTGTTCAGACTCCGCGTTTCTCTCCAAACTCCTGGACATCTACTCTAAAGTGTTCGCCAGGTTTCCGTTGGCAAAACATTGCAAAACTGAAAGCTACGCTCAAATGCTGGTGCGATTTGCGGAGTTGAAAGGGTAAGTCAATGGTAGATTACTCTGAGTATCAATAGCAGCTGATATCTTGAGTCATTTATTCCTTGTCATCTCTACAGAATTGAAGACCCAGAAGACGCCCAAGATCATTTCAGTATTGCCAGATCACACTGTAAAGCTTTTGCTTTTGTGCATATAGCACATGCTCAGTTTGAGCTCTCACAAGGTAATGCATGACATTCTGCTGGTTTGGTAAGAACATGGTCATTCAGCATGAGTCAACATGGAAGAAAACTGTTTAAAAACCTGCATAATAATGTGTTGTTAACATCTCTCAGGAAATTCTAGGAAGAGTAATTTGATTCTTCAGAAAGCATTGAGCTCGAACGCACGGCCTGTTGAACTGCTGCAGACTGCGATCAGAAATCTGAACTCTGGTAAAGCTCATCTGCTTCCTGGTGAGCATGAAGACAACACTGCAGGTGAGTCAGTTTGCAGTTTGTTTTAACCCCAAGGGACGCACAATATTTTTTTTGCGTTTTCTTTAAGTGTATACACTGAGAGTGATTAAATCACTGAAGATCTGCTTATAACTGTCCTACAGTCCACAGCAATCGAGTTTTTCAGTTTGTTTGAGGTAGACTTCAATGTTGTTTACTCATTTTTATATTTTGTCATTAGTGGTCCAAGCACCAAAGGTTTGCAAAGAAATCTGTGATCTCCAAAATACTTAAAAGATCATTTCAATGTGTAAATATTTTCAGTGATATTGAAATACATATTTTGTCAAGTTGCTAGACATTATTGCTGTCCAATTAAAAAGAAGAGATAATACTTTCATAAAGATACACTTAATAACTCATAGTATGTCCACTGCATCACCATATCGTCTTCATCTGTGGTCTTCAACCTCCAGGCCCTCATCGTCAGTACAACAATATTTGAAGGCCCCATAACTTTGTTTTTTATGATTTAAATGAACAAGGATTAAGGACAAAGATTTTCGAAAATATTTTTACTCTCATAATCTTTACTTAATAAAATATTTAAAAAGTTCGCATAACTACAAAAATAACCACATTTGTCATAAATATGTCCATGGAGGTATAAGAACTGATTCATTTACATGACTTTTCCAAATCTGGAAAACACACCATTAAAATTAGGCTTCCTCATTATCCAGTGGGGAAAAAAAATACAATAATTATAATTAGGGCTGTCAGTTAAAAGTGTTATTAACGGCGTTAACGCGATTAATTTTTTTATCGTGAGATTAACAGTCTTTTTGGCCTAGCAAACTTTGTAGTTTTTTTTCACATGCTTTTGCAACAGGACGCGGCATGCGTGGCGCTGCGCTATGAAACCTATTCATTTCAATGGCTTGCGCCGCGTGAGGACGTTTTGTTGCTTCGTCGACCAAAGCGCAAGCGCAGCGGCGCGCACACCGCGGTCAAAATTCAAAATAGTTAAACTTTTGCCGCAGCGCGGCCAATAGAAACGTTTTGGCATCCAAAAAGTTTGAAAACTGGCCTAGCGCCGCGCATTCCGCGTCCTGTCTGAAAGCACCGGATCTAGCTAGACCGGAAACACACTTGTTGCGAGCCGGCCAAACAGTAGGTTAACGCTACGTTTTGTGTGGATGACGAGCGCGAGACGCCGAAATGGATGCCAATAAGATTCTGAATGGAAAGTTTACTTTTAAAAAGTTGCCAAATGGTTTCATTGACAAGACCAAAGTGATCTGTGTGTTTTGTCGTTGTGAACTGAGCTATCATCATCGCAGCACGTCCAGTCTGAAATACCACTTGATGATGGCCAAGCACACACACACACACACACACACACACACAGACAGCTGATGCGAATTCTCCGCCCCCTCGTCAATATCAGGACCTCGTCAGTATTTCTTTCACCCTTTTATTGATGGACAGTGTTGCATTGTGTGAGAGATTATTTGCTTCAAGTGAGAATGTTAGTGTGAAATTGAACACAGTATATGCCAATGTTGTTTTCAATAAAAAACATTTGCACAAAGCAAGCCGATCCACTTTTCCATGTTGATAAGAGCATTAAAATGAGAAGATAATGGGACAAAAAGAAATCAAGAGACATTTAGAATAGATAAAAATGTGCGATTAATCGTGATTAAATATTTTAATCGTTTGACAGCACTAATTATAATATAAAATGTTAACGGTGTATTTAATTCTTGTTTTTTTTGGTGTGTTTTGTCTTTTTTTTAATGCTTGGTTTGTCTTGAGTAATCTTGCGGGCCCCTGGTTGAGAACCACTGGCGTTGGTCGGCGCTTGTTTTTGCCCGTTGAACATGTTCAATCAGCGTTTATCAGGTCGTGGAATGTCTGAGAAGTGACAGTATTATTTGGTGATTGTTTGGCGTCTGTCTGTGAATCAGCCTTAACCCTACACCTACAAGACAACGATAAAGATTTTTTTTTCTTTTTACAATAAAACCAAAGATTTCCAGGGTTGAGGATGTGCTAGTTTTAAAGTGAAAATGCCTGTTCAGAAAAGAATGATATTAAAATGGTTTGGTTTTGCAGAAAATGTATCACTGAGTAACAAAATGGATGAAGAAAATCCAACGAAGGTTCCTGAGGAGCAGCAAAAGTCCCATGTCAAGGAGACTTCATCAGAATGGAAGATTCCTACTGTCATTAACAAACACGCGTCTCCAGAGGTCTGATTACAGCTCACGCTTGTTTAATATCTGAGTTAGAATGATTACAGCGCGGACTCAGCTGGGATCGGTTCATGATCAATCTGTTGTGTTCTATTCAGGATCGTAAGCCTCCTGCAGACCCCATTTCCTCTTCATTCTCACTTCATGCTATGAGAACACCTGCGCCTCCTAGATTACACCCCTCCTTTAGCTGTCAGACTCCCAACTACAAAGACCCAAATGCAAACAGGTAATAACGCAGCAGAACACATGCCTTGATTTCTCAACGTTAAAGTGTTCGTTCACCCAAAAATGACAATTCTGTTATTAATTACTCACCCTCAAGTTGTTCCAGACATTTTTGTTCATCTTTGGAACATAAATGAAGATATTTTTAGAAACCTGAGAGCTTTCTGTGTTGACGAACTATCCCTTTACCGATGCTTTCTGTTCCTTGGATAGTTTCGTCACTCCTGTGGTGAAGCAGCGGCCAGTGATTGTGTCTGTTCCATCGACGGCACAGAAAATGGGTCACGCTCAGTTGCCCTGCACTCCTCAGAGCCAGGTGTCCTATATCCAGCAGCCATCACAGGTAAAGAGGCTCGCACATCTCCAAAACATCAAACTGGCAGAGAAATATGTGATCGAGAGATTGGTAAAAAGAGAGCATTACATTTTTTTTTGGCTTGGATAAGAAAGCAGAGCAGATTAAGGAGTATTTTTATTTTTGTTTAAAGTGAATGTAACATGCCATGAGCAAATAATACATTTCTCGATGAAGTTCTTTTAAGAGACCTCCATTATCTACATCTGCTAATATTTTATGAAGTATTTGTGATTTGTATTTTGCTTGATATCGAAGAATGACTTTTTCCAATTGGGAAAATGAGTTTTTTAAATATAAAAAAAAATGGCTTCACTCCCAAGTGGCAACCTTCCAGTCTCTCTCGTGAAGCCAACACGGAAGTGACTTAAACTGCAATTCATCGACTGGCCGCTAGGAGAGTCAATCCCACAAACCCCCATGTTAAAATGGCCGACTTTACAGCAGATTTTTTTTTTTACAGCCTGGTACAAAATTGGTTTTGGTCTATATAGCTAATTTTGGCCTTCATGACAATTGTGAGGGGGTGAATTTTGTTTATAAGTCATCTGTTAAAATTATATTAAGCCTTAAAGTTCTGCATAATTAAGGGCGTGGCCACTTGAGTGACAGGTGGATTGCCGCTGATGTCACTACTAGCCGTTTGTCACCTCAGTTAATTCCAGCTGCTGAACTTGCCATCTCTGCCGTGTTTGTGCTTTTTCCGGGATTATTTCATACAATTTAATACACGCATTATACCTTCGCCCACGCCTTTGGCGAGTATCGAGAGAACAATCAGCGCTGTTTTCCTCTGTGAACATGCATTCATGGATGTCTGACAATTTCGTTGCTTTTTTGAGTGTTCAGATTTAGAGGCTACACTCGTTCTGCGGTACCGTTGCTCTCATGGAACAGAGACTAATTTAACTTTTTAGTGTTAAAGGTGCCCTAGAATGTTTTTTATTTTTTATTTTATAATGTTTCCTGGGTTACCCTTATAATGTTAGTATGTTTTTTAGATAAAAAATAATAATAATTTAGAAATAAATGGCATTTTTCCTAGCCTGCTTTTAGCCTCTGATTTGAACACTCTGTTTGAAGGGGCGTGTCTGCTGTGGGATTCAGTGTAAACGCGGCCACTGCTGTGATTGGCTGACATGCTTGCATATGAAATAGCAACGCATTACATGTGAAACTCTCTCCCGAATACTTTTACTACTATTATTATACGTTTTTACTTTAACAGCTATCGAGATTAACGAATCGTGAGATGTTTTTAAAGTATTTAGATCTATTCCCATCACATAAAATGTTGCCGTGATGAGCATTGAGCAGATGACTGTGTGTTGATCGCGAGAATGAAGATCTAATCATTGCAAAGCAGTTTCTGCACTCTCTCTGCTTTCACCAATGCAAACACGATGATGTAAATACAGTAAGAGCTTCGTTGTGCAGTAACATGCGTCATTGATTTCATAACGAGTTTGGCAAGTGTCCAGATAAACTCGTGCTGTGTGGAAAGATTGTTCTTAATCGCTTTCTGTATATAATTTGTTCACAATTTAAATATGATTATTTTCATCCTACTAAAAGAAACGATGTGAAGCTGATATTTTAGTCACTGGTTTGACTTACTGATGCATAAACAGTATTGAACGATTTTGAGAGAAAGATTACCTGTCTGAACTTGAACAATTACACATCAGAAAGTGTTGCTTGGTAGCTCGATCCGAGGCCAGCTCTGTATTGGCCCAAGTTGAGGAAACAGTCGGTGAAATGTTTGGAAATTTCCAGAGAAAATAAAATTAACCCATTGTTTCTTCAGAGGCTCAGATGAAGGAACTAAAAAATACTTTTGTGTTCATGTGTACATCCACACTGAGCAACTGCCATGCTTCGGCTGCGCAGTTCCGCCTGGCATTGAGGGCTGGCATTATGCAAATATTTGGAGGCGTACATATTAATGATCCCGACTATTGCGTCACAGTCGGTATTGTGTGGAGAACCGACCGTTTTTCAGGGGTGTTTTTCATAAACGTGAATTAAATGAGAACGCGAAAACAGTCCAGTTTGAGATTCACTCTATGTCATGTCCATGCACTGAACTCTTGTTATTTGACTATACCAAGGTAAATTCAATTTTGAATTATAGGTCACCTTTAAATTAAACGTAAATTAATAATACAGCATCACGACACGGTCTCACTTGTAGCTATTTCTTTTAACTATTATAGGATTTCGAAGGGCAAAACATGAACTTTAACTATTGGCTTTACATCAAGTCAGCTGTCACTTTAGCGCGAGGCCCTGTGCGGTCGCACACTTGGTACTGCAGTGCCAGTAGCTTATAACATTAGCTACTTAGCCTGTGCAAACTCGATCACGTCGAGCTAGGCGGGCGTGGTTTCAGCAACCAGGCACCTCAGCTCCACCCACGTCCCGCCTCTTTGCCCATTTTCAGTTCTTCGGGAGTGGTGCGACGCCAAGATGGCGATGGCAGGCTCCGCCCACTTTAGGCTTCAAAGATGCTCTTCAGAAACCTTTTTTTTTTTTAACAGTCTATGCTTCACTCGCAGAAATCAAGTTCTTAATATCAAAGATTGCTTTTAGACTGTCTTTAATTGCATTTTCACTAGTAAAATTTTGCAATATGTTAGACCTTTGTAAGCCAATTTGACTTTTGTAAGTCAATATACCGGTAGGATTTTACTTAAAGGATTAGTTCATTCCAGGATTAAAATTTTCCTGATAATTTCCTCAACCTTTATGTCATCCGAGATGTTCATGTCTTTCTTTCTTCAGTCGAAAAGAAATGAAGGTTTTTGAGTGGACTTCAACGGTCGGGAACCAATGGGTTGAAGGTCCAAATTGCAGTTTCAATGCAGCTTCAAAGTCTCTACACGATCCCAGCCGGAGAATAAGGGTCTTACCTAGGAAAACGATTGGTCAAATTAACAGTTTTACTCGTAATAATCAGTTCATAGACATTTGTAAAAGTGGAATTTCAATTACCAGTAGTAAGAAATCATTGATATCTGTCATTGCCTTTGAATGGAAGAATTTAACTAGTGAAAATGCAATTGTGGATATCAAGAATTATGCTTTTTTACTACAAAAATACATTCCTGATATCAAGAATTCCATTATAACTAATGAAAATTGAATATTCAAAAATACCAGTATGCAGTCAGGTGGATAAAAGGGAAGTGTGGGTAGTATGGTGCTCTCGGCTTCATTTCTGCCTCTGTGATCTATAATTAATTGTGTAACAATCTTTCACCCTTCAGACCCCCTCCTCCGCTTTCTCAAATGAATCCATCACAATCAAGGGCAAACAGTTCTTCATTTTCAAGATGATCGGTCGAGGCGGATCCAGTAAGGTACGAAAGAATGACTTGTTGAGTTTATAATTCTCCATTTCATACGATTCGTTGTGGGTAACAGAAATAATATATTTTTCTTTTTAGGTCTATCAGGTTTTTGACCATAAGAAGCACGTTTATGCTGTGAAATATGTGAATCTAGAGGAAGCTGATGCCCAGGCGGTGGAAAGCTATAAGAATGAGATTGAGCACTTGAATCATCTTCAACAGTACAGTGACCAGATCATTAAACTCTATGACTAGTAAGTGTGTCTTTTATTCACCAGCATCACGACTGTAGCCTCGTTTCCATTATCCTTCTAATTGCGAATTGAAAATACACCCAATGGAAACGCATCAATTTCGCAAAAACTCCCATTTATCGCAAAAAAAAATGTCCCGCTCGCATGAGGTGGTTTTTCAGACAATTCGAAAAAGAAATATTTTTGCAAAACTGCAATGGAAACAGTTTTTACGCATTTACAGTCTTAGATGACGCGGTGTGTTTGGACAGAATACGAGACAGAGTTCTTTATTAAATTCATAAAAGACAAAAGAATTATAAGAATACTGGATTCTAAAGCTCAAAGAAATGCCACAATCAAGACCTCGGAGCAGAAACACCCAGAAACACCAGCCATTCCAAGTATAAGGGTCTTTCCTTACCATTAATGCTTGGATAACACGCATACATCGCCTTCGATTAATAATAATGTGGAGTGGCTGGGATATCCGTAAACCTATTAACATCCGTCGCCATGATTTTTGGAATGACTTATCACGAGAGGAAAAAAAATAAGTTTTAGGCGCATAACATTGGTTAATGGAAACACCGTCATTTCGCAATTGATTTTGTCGACATTTAGAAAAAATTGCTATGGTTTTGCGTAAATCTGTAATGGAAACGTGCCTTGTGTTGTGCTTGGAAAACAATGTAAATGATGAGCTGTGTTCCTGCTTGCTTGCAGTGAGATCACCAGTAGCTACATCTACATGCTCATGGAGTGCGGCCACCTGGATCTCAACACCTGGCTACGCAACCGCAAGTCCGTCAACCCGCTGGATAGGAAATGTTACTGGAGGAATATGCTGGAGGCAGTGCACACCATCCACAAACATGGTGACCATCACCTCTCGCACTCTCTAAACCCTCACTTTTACTATTTCTCATTATTTTCAACTAAGCATTAAGGGCCATTCGCATAGGAATGGGCGATACATTCAATATTACAGATATTGTCGCCATACCTTTGACAATAAAATTCCTTAAATAAATTTCAGCACAACAACCATAAGGAAATGACCCTTCACAATAGATAATGCTTTTGTTAGAGAGCTACATATGGCAATTTATCTGTTCAATAAAATAAAAACCTTACTTGGCTGTTGAGTAATAAAAACGGCATCTCTTCGTCTCTTTTACAAAATTTCAAATCCCTTAAGCTGGGTTCACACTACAAGCGACAAAGCGCCACGATACCATTGAATGAGAAGCTCATTTTAGCAGTCAGAAACGGTCCTGTAATTTATATGTCTCCGTGTACATATGGTGGTACGACTCCGAGCCTGAATGCTTTCGTGAACCCAGATAGACCGGCATTCGCCCGTTTGCTGCAGTTAAAGAGCACTCGCTGTTTCTCGTTCATCTTTAATATTATGCATTTTATGTACTGATTCCATTTATATTTAGACTTTTCTTTCCGAAATGTTTGTTTGTAGCGGCAAGAAACGGATTTGTTCTACAACATGGAGTAACATCTGTGAATGTCACTCACAAACGACAGTCGCTTGTAGTGTGAACGCAGCTTTAGTTCTCGCCATCTCCGAAAAACCAAGCTAAGGTTGATTCTTGTTTTCTGCCGCGCTCTGCCGCGCTCTCTTCTCCAGCAGACTCTCCTCTGTTCAGCATTTGTTTAAAACGGGTGATTCCCTGGAGGTTGGAGATTTAGCGGCTCCATGTCAATCTTTCTCACTCGTTGTGAGACTGACCTCTGCCACTCAAACACCAGACACACGTCAAAGTAGCCGGAGCAACTTTTTTCCATTTACGGATATGACGAGACGCACACGGACGAGTGACACATGTACCCGCGAGAACCATCCCGCTAGATCTAAAATATAGACTCAAACATTAGGCTTACCTTAGTGAATCAGGGTAAGACAAAAACACATTTTGGAAGAAGGATTGATGATGTATTGACTCATTATTTAAATTTTGTTCATTTGGAACCTTTAAAGTTTTAAATATACATGTATACAAGTATTCATTTTTATTAGTTTTAACTTTTTTTAAATACATCGAGGTAAACTAAATGAAAATGTTGCCCTGGCAACTAGCTGAATTATTAGGTGTTCAAGCACGAAGTGCTGAAAACCTATTGTAATTGCTATTTGAAAAAAAAGATTCCCCTAAAACGCATCGTGTAGCCCAAACCGTAAGGCCTAGAGGCTTGAAACTCGGCCAGATGGTAGGCCACACTTTTGGGGAGAACCTATCAGAGTATGACCCCGATTGGCCCATAGGTGGCGCTACAGCAACCAAAAGTACTAAATTGCTCATAACTCCTAGACCGTTGGTCCTCAAACTTTTTACACCACTGTGATCCCACTGGGACAAAATGTATATCTCCAATTTCGATGTCGAATTTTGTCCAAAACCTACTTTTGCGAACTAGTCCCTGGTTTTTCGCCCGATCGGAACCAGACCAGTCTAGGCCTATTCTCTGGACTCTCTAGATGTCTCTCTAAAGGTGGCGGTATAACTGTTAAAAAGCTTTAAAACCATATATTTCCTATGGTAAATTGCCTGTATTGGCTGTAAATGGTCTTTTCCATCTATTATGTCAGTGTTTAAATGTATGCTAAATAAAACTTAATGTCTTTTGATGCTTTTGTGCCTAACGGCCTTAAAGATCTTAACTGCTTGAACACCGCTAAATGCTGCTTGCAGCTTTAATTATTTTTTTCTGTTTTATTTCATTGTTTTATTTCAGATGTTTATTTCAAGTAACAAAAATGCTTTTTTATGGTTTTAGTTGATCTCGAACACTGATTTTTGGGTATTTGTTTTGCGTCACTTTTTAGGGTTTTCTGAGCAACCGGGTGGGCGTGTTTCATAGAAAAACACTCAAAATTTGTACAAAATGTAAAAATCTAGTTTAATTATTGCACTTTTTAATTGATTAATTTCTTTGCATTTTTCATTTGAAGGCATCATCCACAGTGATTTAAAGCCAGCTAATTTTGTGATTGTGGATGCTTCGCTGAAACTAATAGACTTTGGAATCGCCAACCGTATTCAACCTGACGTGACCAGCATCATGAAGGACTCACAGGTTGGGTTGGAACAGAACTGTGATCTACAGAGGAATGTCGTTTCTGGTCTGTTCTACTTGATTTACTTGTTTTTTATGATGCGCGTCAGGTGGGGACTCTAAACTACATGCCACCAGAGGCCATTAAAGACACGTCCTCCAATGGAAAGCATGGGTCAAAGGTGAGAAGAGTTCATATTTCGTCATTATCGACTCTGATATTAATGTGTTCCATGCAGGGACAGAGTATAATGGTAGATTACGCAGTCTGATCCCATCATTGCTTCCTCTGCTGTCCACAGATCAGTGCTAAAGGGGATGTGTGGTCTCTGGGATGTATCCTGTATTGCATGACTTATGGAAAGACTCCATTCCAGAGCATCACCAATCAGATAAGCAAAATCCATGCCATCATAGACACGTCCCATGAGATCGACTTCCCCGATATTCCAGAAAAGGACCTACTTGATGTACTTAAGGTGTGCAGAATATTTGGCTGTGCTGAACAGTCATTGACTACGTTTACATGGTGCGATGTAGGAGGTATTGTGATTGTACACACAATACTTTGATCAAATTAAAACAGAGGAAACAGACAACATTGGGTGACATCATGACATGAATATAATGCCACATATTGATGGTCGAAAACAACGAAATGAAGACATTTTTATGTGCGTCACCAAAAATAATACAGTACGTCCATAGAAAATTGTTTTGCATTTGACGCAAGTAGATAAAATTAGTGGCCAGTGACAAACCTGCTGAATGTGAGTGGTGCATTGGGCTTTGTGAATAATGGCAGTAAAAATACACCACAATTCCTAGCAAATAATCAGAATAATGAAAATTGCATGTAAATAGGAGTGCAGAGGTTTGCTCATGTCATGTAAACGTTCTTACAAATACAAATAATTGGAAATAATTACATTATTGCTGCACGTAGTCAATCAATGACCTCAACAATTTCATAGTACAGTGCTTACTGTCTGTCTGTTGATTTCAGAGGAGTTTAGTTCGCAATCCTAGAGAAAGGATTTCCATAGCAGAACTCCTCGATCATCCATACCTGCAACTGCAACATGCACCTGAGCCAGGTACGTGCTAATATGTGCAAACAACAGTCTCCTGAAAATTAACAAATGTTTTCTGAAAGCAATCACATATCTTATGGTGTTTACTGTATTTTCTGCACTATAAGGCGCACCGGATTATAAGGCGCACCTTCAATGAATGACCTATTTTAGAACATTTTTCATATATAGGGCGCACCGGATTATAAGGCGCATAAGATCCTGCAGTCAAACGTTTGACTGGGTTTGCGTTATGCATCCACTAGATGTGCTAAAGGGAATGTAGCGAGTGCGTGGCGCTGGAGGCGATCGTTTATTAGTAAGCGTGAGCGCGTTGGGGTGGGCACGTAACTTACATTCGCAGCCTGACTCATATGAGTATTCATGCGGCGGCTCGCTGACAGCAACAGCTGGCTGTTTTGAATGAGACGACCCGATCACTGTGAACGGGGAGCGCTTTATGAACATTCTGTGACGCGCGAGCAGCGCCGGGGACAGTGTGTCTGTTAGTAAGAGTGAGCGCTCGTGAGCGGGCACGTGACTTACACACATAACCTGATTTATACGAGGTTGAACTGGCCGTGTGACAGAGCGGGCTTAATTGCTTCAAAAAATCTTGGTTAATAACGCTCCTCTGTTAATTGATCCAATTAACCAATTGATCCATATATAAGGCGCTCCGGATTACAAGGCGCACTGTCGTTTTTTGGAGAAAATTAAAGGCTTTTAAGTGCGCCTTATAGTGCGGAAAATACGGTAAAATAATTTTTTTGCTGGTTAATACAACACTGATATGTAGAATTAGCCTGTTTGCGGGTATATTTGCTGCACGATTAATTTATTCCACAATCAAAAATGTCTGATCATATGACCATGATAAAGTAGTATTTTAAAGTACGCTCATGCCTTGATGGAATTACCGTAATTACAAGATTTCGACTTCCTTGTAGAACTTGTAATTGAAACTTGTAAACTCTGAATTTGAAACATGAAAGCTCTGACTCTGTTACACAATGCGTTATCACTCAAAATGGCAGCGTCTTCAGCTGCAAAATGTAGTTAAGTAGTTATATCATAATATTTCTTTTTAAAGGGGTCCTATTATGCTCATTTACAGCTTCATAATTTTGTTAATGGTGTTATTGGGTCTACTAGAATATGTTTTTCTCATTTAAAGTTCAAGAAACATTCTTTTTCTTATATTTTAAATTGTTGCAGCACCTGTTTTCACCGTCTGTCTGAACGATCTGTTTTAGTTTCGGTTTCTTTAAAACCCGCTCTTCCCGGAAAGCACAGTCTATTCTGTTTGGTCAGCCAGCACCGGTCTGTTGTGATTGGCTTTCTGTGGCGCTGTAAACACTATTGTAACTTTGCTAACTATGACATCGGTTTTGCCGTATCAGTTCGAGCCCAAATCCGAGAATGAGTCAACCGGAACAAGCTGATCAAACAAACCACCTTCGCAAGCACGTAATTACATAATGTGCAGAGGTGGAAAATAAATGTTCTTGGACATGGCAACAACGCAACTCAACCAAGCCCTGCCTCTTTTTTTGCATATGAATTAGGCAGGAATTATTGTGACGTGTTTGTTCCCGGAAGAAAACTAAAGACTACAGTGGAGGCGTTTCAGGGAGTTCAGAAACACTGACACTGATATAGAGATAATCCCACTGGAGGGACTATGTAACTTTGCAGAGCTTTTTCATGCTTAAACAGCAACACACTAAAGAAAGATGAACATGTAACAAAGCATAATAGGACCCCTTTAATAATTCCTATAATTGACTACTAGTTATTAATTCATTCAAGAATACATGGTGCGCATGTAGAACAAAACAATATCTGTTATAATATAAGGAAACATTAAGCCTTTATTTTAACAGAATATATTAATCAGAAATTAAACCGATTAATTGACAGAAATTAAATTTAAACCGATATCTCAAAAAATACTATCCGTTTATTAATCTGAAATTAAACCGATTAACAGAAATTACATTTAAAACGATATTTCTCAAAAATACTATTAATTTATTTCTAAGTGAAATGTTTGTTCTGTGATTTTAAATATTACTTTGTGCACCCTTAAATGTAAAGGGGTAAAAAGCTCTGCAATGACGCTTTAAGGTTGACGTCAACTAGTCGCTGATCATTCATGGCATATAGTTCATTTTTACGCTCAGTTTCTAACATTTAAAATGACAAATATGCATACTCCGCTCCACAAGATATGTTTGATTAGACTATCCAGATGCTTAAAATTGATCGGGTGAATGCACGTTTTAAACAGCTTATTGTACATGCAAGTAAATCGCCATTCTAAACTAACGCTCTGCTGCATTACACACACACACACATGCGGACATCACGTGCAGATCGCACACACACAGAAACATTCAGGAGCGCAGAAACTTAGTCAACACTGTTCTGTGATTTATCAATAAAATAGCTTAGAAATATATGCTAGAGCTTTTTCAGTTTCTGAGTAACTAGAACCCACAGCTTCACTATTAGTAGAGAGATGCTGCGAGGTAGGAGTAATTCACACGCAATCGCTCCCTCACTAATGCATTCATGCAAGTCGTTCAACCCCTAGTATGTACTAATTATCAGTCTTATCCTCATAGGAATGTCAATAATTACGCTGCATGCATAAAGCAAATTCTGTCTGTTTTAATGTGATCATGATTGTTGTTGTTCTGTCATTCAGCAGAACCGTGTGACAGTGATTTGAAGAGAATCCTTAATGAACTGGCGGCTCTTCAGTCTCCCAACAGCATCGCAAGAGCTGCTAGTGTAAGTCATCCTCGCGTAGCTGCTCAAACATCTTCATGCAGCGTTGTGTGTGCTGGATTGTTAGTTTAATACCTGTTAGACCCCATCAAATGTAAATTAAAGCGTGTGGGTTAGCTTTGAGACAATAGCTATGTTTCCATCCACACGTTTTTATCCGCATTAAAGGAGTAGTTCACTTTAAAAAAAACTTTTGCTGATAATTTACTCACCCCCATGTCATCCAAGATGTCCATGTCTTTCTTTCTTCAGTCGAAAAGAAATTAAGGTTTTTGATGAAAACATTCCAGGATTTTTCTCCATATAATGCACTTTACTGGGCACCAAACGGTTCAAGGTCCAAAAGACAGTTTCAGTGCAAACTGTTCAAATGGCTTTAAATGACACCAGACGATGAATAAGGGTCTTATCAAGCGAAACGATCGCTCATTCATCAAAATGAACGAATCTTTTTTCAAGTCATTTGATTCATTTAACAAACAAAATGAACTCGGAAAAAGATTCGTTCATTTTGATGAACGAGTTCGAACAGGAGAGTCACACAGAACAGAGCAAGGCGGGCATTTGAGCTTATAAAACTTAAACTTTGTTATTTATTTTTTAAATGAGCGATCGTTTCGCTTGATAAGACCATTATTCATCGTCTGGAATCGTTTAAAGCCCTTTGAACAGTTTGCAGTTTGCACTGAAACTGTCTTTTGGACCTTGAACCGTTTGCTGCCCAGTAAAGTGCATTATATGGAGAAAAATCCTGGAATGTTTTCATCAAAAACCTTAATTTCTTTTCGACTGAAGAAAGAAAGACATGGACATCTTGGATGACATGGGGGTGAGTAAATTATCAGCAAAAGTTTTTTTAAAAGTGAACTACTCCTTTAAGTGATATCGAATGAAAAATGCCTTATGGAAACAGTAAAATTCGATTGAATTTCATGAATATCGACTCAAATGAAATCAACTCATCGGATTTTATCTTGATCGATATACGGCTTACGCGATAAACGTGGATGGAAACGTTATTATGGTGCGATCCATTTTGCCTAAAACTTTGTTCGCAAATGTTGGCTTGAATGTTGTGCAATTCGGTGAGAAAATGAATGGAAACACCTTAACATGTCTCAAATCAATTCGATATACCAATTTGATCGCAAAACAGCATGTGACGTCATTACACACAGGTTTTTATTCGCTTTATGGAAACACACTTTCACCAGCTTTATTCGCATGAGGTTTTTTACCGAACTTCAGATAATTCGATTGACAAGTGGATGGAAACATGGCTACTCTACTGCAGGGTTTCCCAAACTGGGCTTCATTTGTAAAATTCAAACAAAGTTATTTTAAAACAATCAAAATAAAACACTTGCTAAAAAAAGATTACATTTGCTTTATTTATCTGACATCAGAGAACCGTGAACATGCAAATGTGTTGTAAATTATTGAAACATTAGTTTAAAATCTCAGGGGGCTTCAATAGATATTCTAGGTCGAAGGGGTTCAGCTGACAAAAGCTGAATGCTCTTTCCTTCCCGCTGAACTCTATGTAGAGCCTCCAAGATTGTGCCGGTGACTATTTTAAAAAGCTTCCACCATGACGTTCTGTTTCAATAGGAAATCCATCAGCACAATGAGTGTGCAATAAAGGAATGGTTCTCCCAAAAAAATTAGATTTACTCACCCCAAGAATGACTTTCTTTCCTCGGATGAAGAGAAATTAAGGTTTTGGAGGAAAATATTTCAGGATGCGAGTGAATGGTGATCAACATAGACCCTTTTAGACAGTCCAAAATCTGTATTTAGGCAGCTTCATAGGGCTCCGCATGGGTCTCCGGGTCTTCTGTGGCGAAATAATGATGTTCTTTTTAACTACAAATGCTCACCTTGAGTCCAGCTCTCGTCACGCGAGGCCGGGTCGTGAACTCAACTCTCTTGAATGCGCTTTGCAGAGATGGACCAAGGAGAGCATTTCTAGTTAAAAGGTAGAATTTTTTTTATTTTTAAAAGACTGATTGTTTCACTTGAATAGACCCTTATTTGTCAGCTGTGGTTGTGGAGCCCTAGCCTGGGAAAACCCAGACAACTTCCGGCAAATTTAGATTTGCATTGAAAGTTAGTCTGGCAAAGAGCTCATTCAAGCCCATTTCCAATCCGTCGAAATCGAGGCACCAATCAGAAACGTTGGGGCGGGCTTTACACGATGAGGACAGCGCTGGGATTTTGAAGCAGATTTTGTAGCCTACATTACAAAGATGGATGCCGCCGTCGAACATCACTCGTTCCAATCAGCTATCGCGTCTGTTTTAAGCGATTTGAACGTTTCCTTTTTGTTAAAAACCGAGCAAAGAACAACACTCGGAGATGTTTCTCCACCGCTCTGCATACGTCATCTCCTTCATCGCTCTGATTGGGTTTGGTCTATCCGAGACGTCCGTTGGTGACGCCCCTCTGGAAATGATTTGTCTATGACGCTTTGCCAGACCATAACTCAGTTACAACTGAGAATGGTCTGGTTTTAACCAGGCTAGTGGAGCCCTTTAAAGCTTCCTAAATCTGGATTTTGGACGGTCAAAAATGGTCCACGTTGAGCAGAATTCACATGCATTAGATGGAGATTCAAATCCTGGAGTGTTTTCCTCAAATTTCTCTTCAGCTTTGGAAAGAAAGGGTAAAACTTTACTTGAAGGGGTGTGCATAAGAGACTGACATGACACCTTCATAATCATGACATGACACATGTTATGAATATGAAGGTTTTATGCATGTTTATGACAACTGTCATTAAGTGTCATTCGCTCAATTATGACATTTGTAATGCAAATATGACATTGTTTGAGATGTCTACTTGACATAAACCAATACATCATAGCCTTACAGTGTCTTGGTTATGACAACTTGACGTTATCAAGACAACATAATATGTCATAAACATGACATAGCAGATTAATTATCAAACTTAAGAAACCACTTAGCTTTATGGGTTAACATTACATTACATTAAACTGGTTGGTTTTGACATAACTGTCATGAATATTTTTCTTGACCTCAACTACAGTGGTACAAATTGAATTTGTCATTAAAAGGTTATAATGGCTTCATGACAGCCAATGTCAAAAGCAACCACCTGACAGTTTTGGGTGAGCTTGAAGCAAAAATATGATCAGCATTTACATTTAAACCGTCTTTATGTACCCCTGCAGAACCTGGCCAAGATGTGCAACAGCGGGAGGAAGTTAGATGTTTCTGAATGTGTGAAAACATCCACTCAGACCCTGTGGAAATGAGGATTGCAGGACTCGAAACCACTGTTTCCAAGAGACACGTCTTTCTCTCAACTCTAAACAGCTCAGAGCTTCTGCCGTCTTGCTTCTAGATGCTTTAAAGAAATGCTTGTTTGTTGTCCATTTCTACTTAACTGTGTCTGTTTCTATTTTATTTGACCACTTAATGTAATCTAAGAAAGTGTACATGACAAAATAAAACACCTCTTGTCAGGTATATTCCAAATGTAGTGTTTATTTGTAATTGAGATGGGAGTCATTCTGATTCTACAGCAATATGACACGTTAACATGTTTTCACTGCCATCTCATTCTTCAGGGCATTTAATATCTCATAAAGCCCTTTCATTATGACACCATTTCATCAGAATGCATGATTATGTTTCAGTGCTCTTTAATGATAAAAACAGGCTTCTGTATCGTCATCTCTATAGATTTCCATTAAAATGGATGTTGATTGATTTTTGCATTAAGAGCGTTGAATGCCTTCTGGAGAAAGGGCTGTGTATACTGTTGTTCTATCAAAAATGATGTCACTTCCTGTATGATGTCATTAAGGACTTTTGTTAAAGAAATATTTTTTTTTAAAATGGGATGGAAAGGGATATTGTGGACCCCAAAACCATAATGACTGTTTTCAATATTATTTCCCAATACAATATCAAATAAAATAAATTAAGCAATTTTATTTTCCCCAAAATGTTTTGTTTGAAATTAAACTATTTTAGAAGTTTGTGATATTGTTATAAAATAAAGCGAACTAATATGCTTTCACATTTAATATTGCACCCAAAATATTAACACTTTTATGCATGGAAAAGGTACTTCCTAACAGTAATGACTGAATCAACAAATATACGTACTTATCAGATTAAGGCCAAATATTCTGGATTTATTTTTTCAAGTCTTTTTGTGAAATGTAATATTCTAAACTCACATTATGTTTAATAATATGTTACGATGGATTAGTACATTATGGCTGTTTTACTTTTGTCATGACTAAAAATGCTGTCTAGGTCCGGGGTTTTCAAACATCTAGAGAAAAAACTAACAAATGTAAAAAAAATAATAAGGTTAATATTAATAAATAAATAAATTAGATTTAAATAAATAAAAGAGTAAAATGTGATTTAAAAAAAATAGGATCTATTAAATAAATAAAACCGATAAATATAAATATTTGATTAAAAATAACTAATACATTTAACTAATAACTAATCTTTTGTTTTTTTTTCTCCTATGTTTTTAAACAGTGTTTTATATTTTTATATACTTTCTTTTCCATGTTCGAAATAAAGATTTCAAATACATAGTACATTACCATAGTGAGTGAGTAGAAAATAATTTATCTTAATAGAAACAAATTTTAAATGTATAATATTAATATTTCAATTAGGTGTTTATGACAGAGCCTTTTAAAATTGGGGTGTCCGTGGCATTCGTATGTCACGTGGGTTGTCAATCAAAACTCCTCCCACGCGTTTAGCCAATCAAAGCAGCAGGACTCCATGTGAGTGTTGACGTCAGAGCGTAGGTTCTGCTTGGTTCCCAGCGCAAACATGGCGGCGACGCGGCTCTTCTGGAGAACTTCAGGCGTTAAGTCTTCATTAACCGGGTTAACCGGAGGCGTGCACAGCAGTTTGGGACTAACTCTGCTTAAACTGTATCCCGACTGCACAGCCAAGCCGAAAACACAGAGGAGACACGCAGCGCACTTTACCTTTCAACCTGACCCGGTGACCACTCAGTATGGTAAATGCCCTTGTTTACACTTTACAGTAGCTCTGGAATACTGACAAGATCGTGAACTGTTCATGTGATTCACCTCTAAAAGCTCCCATCATTAATTAATATTCATAACAAACCGAATAAATCATAACCGAAATCAATATAAACATACATGACAATGTAAACTCGTATTGAGCCATTGGAACTAACTTACTTGAAAGAAACGAGCGTCGGGAAAACGGACTTGTCAGACTTGTTTATAGTTGCATGATGATGTTGCAAACAGTGACCACAGTAGTGCTTGACATAAAATATGAGCTGATTTCATTAGTTGCTAAGGTCAAGTAAGGGATCATGAATGATATACCTTGGTGTCTGCCTGGTCTGTATAAAAAAAGATGCTGAGATTTATCATCCTAAATAACATATTGTTTCTATTAAAACACTGTTTAGTTGTATTAATAGATATTCAGAAGTCTTTAAAGTTACTGTACTGGTTTAATAAAAGGATCTATCAAAAACTATGCCTGCTAAAATGGGCCACTTTATGAACTGACTTTTAAGACATATTGTGATACTTCCCTTTATTAATTATAATTGTGTAAAATTTAACAGGCAAAAATTTCTCCTTTTCTACATATTAAAGCAATTAAAACAATATTTGTTTTTAGTTTTAACTAAAACATACCCATTTGAATTAGTAAAATATCCAGACTGCAAAATCAGCATGCTCTTTTTGTTTAAAAACTGATCCTTGAAAATGTCTTTCTACATGGTTGCAAACATATAACATGCTAATAAAGCTGTTTGCATGCTTATTGTACCCAAGAGCATGATCTATTAAAGTCCATTTTTTGTCGTTTTTAACAAGAAACTATGCTTCTAACCATAACTATAGGGCTGGGTATCGTAACACAATTTTCGATACCGATACCTTGACTTCGATACCGGTTGCTGAACGATACTTTTTTCGATACCAATTTTTTTAAATCCGTTTTAATATTACATTACCTAAAAAAAAAACTTTTAATTTTTCAGTTTGTTGACTTTTTTTATTCTCATATTTTGAGTCTGTAAAAAAGCACCAATGCTAAAGTTTTCTGTTACCTAATCATTTAACAACATGTATTCTTTACTTCAATGAGCTCATTGTTTCTGCCTTAACTTAATGAATTGTTTAATTGCACAATTAATTGAAATGCATTACACACAGTCACCTCTGATAACAGATCACTCTAAATTGTAATTTAGACGCATGCATTTTCTGTAAAGCTGCTTTGAAACGATATGTATTGTGAAAAGTGCTATACAAATAAATGTGAATTGAATTAAATATAGTCTACTGGGGTGCGGGATAAATGCCTCACACTCAGCATAACCCAAGCCGACGTTTGCAATGTACAGGAATCAATTTCAATAGTACATTGAGAACTCATGTTTAAAGTGATAGTTTCATTCTTACATCCACTTTATCTATATATTGTTAGTCTCGAGATTCTTCACAATCGTGAATAAACACATAGATCATCTACGAAGCCCCTAAGGGGACATGGTGGGGGAATTATTCCCCATGAATAATAGTGTATAGAATAATAGGTCCTCTTTAAGCAGTTAAATCTAAGAATAGGTGTTTAAAGCTGTTATGAAAATGAGACATTATTGTGGGATTGACTTGAAATGTCTCTGCAGGCCCCACACAGAAGATGAATCTATTCCAGTCAGTAACCAGTGCCTTGGACAACACGCTTGCCAGTGATCCCACCGCAGGTACGAGTAGATGTTCTCTGTTAGACTACGTTCACTGTCAGTCCAAGTCCCGTTGGAGTCTGATCCAAATGATTGCCTGTCCACACCATGTATCGCAACTGTTCAGAGATATGATTTGTGTGTCCCATGGCACTCTTTTGTTTTGTTGGTTTCTATGGCAATGCCTTTGGGTTGGTAGGCATATGCCATAACAACATGGAGGGGTTTGCAGTGTTGACTTACATTACGGCCCTGGACTACCACGTCTAATGAAGCAATGGCCGAAGCACAGGAGTCTGGCATGAGCGGCTTTATTCTGACCAGGCTGAGTAGAAGTGATGGTGGACTCGTGTGATACTCAACTTTGGCTCTGTTTACACCTGGTATTAAGATGTGTTTTGGTCGATCGGATCACAAGTGGACGACACTAAATGGGGTGTAAAAGGTTTTAAAGGGATACTTCAGGATTTAGCATTAAGCTTTGTATTAGTAGAAAACCTGTAGTATTTTCGAATTACCATGCTTTCCACCCTCATATCCCCCTGAGACGAGAGATTTATGTATTTTTTTGTCTGGAAAAAATCCTCAGATGACGCAAAAATCGCCATTTTGTGTCATCGGAGGATTTTTTGGCCAGAGGCTAAAGACTACAGTCAGTAGTAGGGGCTGTCCCGCATGTTCTCAACCCGCCCATAGAGGGTGGGATCTCACTCACAGAATGGACACATAGTGTCAGCCATCTTTTTTTGGAAGCTAAGCTAGCAGGCTCTTGTTCTGTGGAGAAAGCTGAGTAGTAGGGGTCACCATCCTCTTTTTCCCGGACATGTCTGGCCGTCGATGTCCGGGATTCAGCTTTTGCTTTCTGCAGTCGCCATTCATTGTTTAACATGCACACCTTTTGTTTCAATCTAACTGAATTCATTCCGATTGGTGAATCTGAATGTAGTGTTTACATGAACGCTAAACAAGCGATCGGTTTATGTGTGTTTTAACATTGCTAAGAAAATTCCCGCTCCTCCGTGAGAGATACGAGACCGGTGCGTCTCACAGGTGTCGCTCATCGGTAATCACGCCACCGGCCTCGCGCCGTTCTCCCGCGGCCCTCACTCGTCCTGCTCGCCACAGTAAACATGACTCGTGTCGTTCTCCCGCGGCCCTCACTCGTCCTGCTCGCCACAGTAAACATGACTCGTGTTGTTCTCCCGCGGCCCTCACTCGTCCTGCTCGCCGCAGTAAACATGATTCGTGTCGTTCTCCCGCGGCCCTCACTCGTCCTGCTCGCCGCAGTAAACATGACTCGTGTCGTTCTCCCGCGGCCCTCACTCGTCCTGCTCGCCACAGTAAACATGACTCGTGTCGTTCTCCCGCGGCCCTCACTCGTCCTGCTCGCCACAGTAAACATGACTCGTGTCGTTCTCCCGCGGCCCTCACTCGTCCTGCTCGCCGCAGTAAACATGACTCTTGTCGTTCTCCCGCGGCCCTCACTCGTCCTGCTCGCCACAGTAAACATGACTCGCGCCGTTCTCCCGCGGCCCTCACTCGTCCTGCTCGCCACAGTAAACATGATTCGTGTCGTTCTCCCGCGGCCCTCACTCGTCCTGCTCGCCACAGTAAACATGACTCGTGCCGTTCTCCCGCGGCCCTCACTCGTCCTGTTCGCCACAGTAAACATGACTCGCGCCGTTCTCCCGCGGCCCTCACTCGTCCTGCTCGCCACAGTAAACATGACTCGCGCCGTTCTCCCGCGGCCCTCACTCGTCCTGCTCGCCACAGTAAACATGATTCGTGTCGTTCTCCTGCGGCCCTCACTCGTCCTGCTCGCCACAGTAAACATGACTCGTGTCGTTCTCCCGCGGCCCTCACTCGTCCTGCTCGCCACAGTAAACTTGACTCGCGCCGTCCTCCCGTGGCCCTCACTCGTCCTGCTCGCCGCAGTAAACATGACTTGCGCCGTTCTCCCGCGGCCCTCATTCGTCCTGCTCGCCGCAGTAAACATGACTCGTGTCGTTCTCCCGCGGCCCTCACTCGTCCTGCTTGCCACAGTAAACATGACTCGTGCCGTTCTCCCGCGGCCCTCACTCGTCCTGCTCGCCACAGTAAACATGACTCGTGTCGTCCTCCCGCGGCCCTCACTCGTCCTGCTCGCCACAGTAAACATGACTCGCGCCGTTCTCCCGCGGCCCTCACTCGTCCTGCTCGCCACAGTAAACATGACTCGTGTCGTTCTCCCGCAGCCCTCACTCGTCCTGCTCGCCGCAGTAAACATGACTCGCGCCGTTCTCCCGCGGCCCTCACTCGTCCTGCTCGCCACAGTAAACATGACTCGCGCTGTTCTCCCGCGGCCCTCACTCGTCCTGCTCGCCGCAGTAAACATGACTCGTGTCGTTCTCCCGCCGCCCTCACTCGTCCTGCTCGCCACAGTAAACATGACTCGTGTCGTTCTCCCGCGGCCCTCACTCGTCCTGCTCGCCACAGTAAACATGACTCGTGTCGTTCTCCCGCAGCCCTCACTCGTCCTGCTCGCCACAGTAAACATGACTCGTGTTGTTCTCCCGCGGCCCTCACTCGTCCTGCTCGCCACAGTAAACATGACTCGCGCCGTTCTCCCGCGGCCCTCACTCGTCCTGCTCGCCACAGTAAACATGACTCATGTTGTTCTCCCGCGGCCCTCACTCGTCCTGCTCGCCACAGTAAACATGACTCGCGCCGTTCTCCCGCGGCCCTCACTCGTCCTGCTCGCCACAGTAAACATGACTCATGTTGTTCTCCCGCGGCCCTCACTCGTCCTGCTCGCCACAGTAAACATGACTCGCGCCGTTCTCCCGCGGCCCTCACTCGTCCTGCTCGCCAGAGTAAACATGACTCGTGTTGTTCTCCCGCGGCCCTCACTCGTCCTGCTCGCCACAGTAAACATGACTCGTGTCGTTCTCCCGCAGCCCTCACTCGTCCTGCTCGCCACAGTAAACATGACTCGCGCCGTTCTCCCGCGGCCCTCACTCGTCCTGCTCGCCACAGTAAACATGACTCGTGTCGTTCTCCCGCGGCCCTCACTCGTCCTGCTTGCCACAGTAAACATGACTCGTGCCGTTCTCCCGCGGCCCTCATTCGTCCTGCTCGCCGCAGTAAACATGACTCGTGTCGTTCTCCCGCGGCCCTCACTCGTCCTGCTCGCCACAGTAAACATGACTCGTGTCGTTCTCCCGCGGCCCTCACTCGTCCTGCTTGCCACAGTAAACATGACTCGCGCCGTTCTCCCGCGGCCCTCATTCGTCCTGCTCACCACAGTAAACATGACTCGTGTCGTTCTCCCGCGGCCCTCACTCGTCCTGCTCGCCACAGTAAACATGACTCGTGTCGTTCTCCCGCGGCCCTCACTCGTCCTGCTTGCCACAGTAAACATGACTCGCGCCGTTCTCCCGCGGCCCTCATTCGTCCTGCTCGCCGCAGTAAACATGACTCGTGTCGTTCTCCCGCGGCCCTCACTCGTCCTGCTCGCCACAGTAAACATGACTCGTGTCGTTCTCCCGCGGCCCTCACTCGTCCTGCTCGCCGCAGTAAACATGACTCGTGTCGTTCTCCCGCGGCCCTCACTCGTCCTGCTCGCCACAGTAAACATGACTCGTGCCGTTCTCCCGCGGCCCTCACTCGTCCTGCTCGCCACAGTAAACATGACTCGCGCCGTTCTCCCGCGGCCCTCACTCGTCCTGCTCGCCACAGTAAACATGACTCGTGCCGTTCTCCCGCGGCCCTCACTCGTCCTGCTCGCCACAGTAAACATGACTCGTGTCGTTCTCCCGCAGCCCTCACTCGTCCTGCTCGCCACAGTAAACATGACTCGTGTCGTCCTCCCGCGGCCCTCACTCGTCCTGCTCGCCACAGTAAACATGACTCGCGCCGTTCTCCCGCGGCCCTCACTCGTCCTGCTCGCCACAGTAAACATGACTCGTGTCGTTCTCCCGCAGCCCTCACTCGTCCTGCTCGCCACAGCCCAGATAGCACAAGTCTATTTGATGTTATATTTACATCTGGAAGACGTATTTTTAAGAGTGTTTGCTCATCTGCAAGACGTCTATAGGACGTTTCCTGTCAGATGTCAAATAGACGTTTAGAAGATGTCAGTTTAACATGCATTCTAAATCATTACATCTTAAAGACATCTTCTAAACGTCTATTTGACATCTGACAGGAAACGTCCTATAGACGTCTTGCAGATGAGCAAACACTCTTAAAAATACGTCTTCCAGATGTAAATATAACATCAAATAGACTTGTGCTATCTGGGAGTAAACATGACTCGCGCCGTTCTCCCGCGGCCCTCACTCGTCCTGCTCGCCACAGTAAACATGACTCGTGTCGTTCTTTTAAACGAAAACGCAGTAGTGTGGGGGCCTAATGGTGCGTTCACACCGGACGCGAATAGCGCGTCAGGCGCGAGTGATTTCAATGTTAAGTCAATGCAAAGACGCGTTACGCGCGTAAAAAATTCCTGCGGCGCGAATGAGGCGTAGAGCGCGGCGCGGTAGACGCGAATACGCCTCATTCGCGCGTCAAGTTCGCGCGAATGGCGCGAATTGAGCGTCTGGCGCGTTAAGCGCGTTACGCGCGAATGATTTAGTTAGTGCTATTTGTGCATTCACGCGTTTGACGCAAATTCGCGTCTGCCGCCCCAGTTGAAAAATCTGAACTTCTGCGTCAATTCGCGCCGCGTTAACCAATCAGGAGCCTAGCTGCTTACTGCTGTCACATATCTGGATGCTTCAATAAATTATTTTGTAATATATGACTGTGGTTCTAATGCACAACAAAGCAAATATTTTATCACATAAAACTTGATTTCAATATATGAGACATATATTTATTTTGTATTGAATACTATTTATTCCATATCTAGATTATATGAAATATTATTATAATGTAAAGACAACCAACATATAAGTTCGTGTCTGGATAGTGATGTGTGAGAGAGAGAAAAAAATCACAGGACAGATTAATCACTTTTGGAGGCTGGCTTCGTTTATTATCAAAACAAAAATAAATGACAGATTAGGTGGATGCGGGCGAGGGTAACCTCGCGCCGGGCTGTAGAGCGCGGGTATAAGCCCTCGAGGCCGAGGGCTTATACGGCCTACGCTGTTCTCGTCAGCATCCTCACCATTAGGTCCACCAAACCTAGCTCCTGGAGCAAATTGTGAAACTCCTGAAACTCTCCGGAGGTTCTGGTGGACCCGAGTACAGCGACGATGTCCCCTACGCAGCTGTTTCTGCTCTCCAGAGCATATACGAGCGGTGACTCTCTCGAATAATGCTAATGCTAATGCTCGATAAACATCTAAAAAGATGGCCGCCAACGGGTTTCGAAACTTTCGCCTCCGGATTTCGCCTCTGACGCGCGTAAATTTCGCTTCAAACTTTTGTTGTTACGCGCGTCAATTTCGCCATTGACACGCGAATTAACACAAAGTGGTCAAGCGTCAAACTAGACGCGGTAGACGCGAATTTGACGCGCTATTCGCGTCCGGTGTGAACGCACAGTAAGAGATGATTTTCTATGCGCACATTCATAGAGAATCCGCCTCAAAAACAGCTGGCCAGTAACAAAAGTTATTTTTCGCGGATTATATGCTTTAACACGCAAAATTGTGTCAATTTCGGTCTTCGTGAGTATACTCTAAACATAGTTGGTTTTGTCTTTTAATAAGCATAAAACGCATGCCAGTATAATGAACACAGGATCCGTGCACTAGCTCATTAATTTAGTTGTCAAAACAACAAAATATAGCTTTAAGTTAAAGGAATCAGGATTATTAGCCTATATATATTTAATTTATTCAGGACTAAAATACTACCCAGTGTTATTTTCCATTTGATTACTTTATTCAGTTTCTGTAGGCCTATGAAGTTAGACCCATTGAAAAACTTTTCTGTTTATTTGTATCTTTATTCTATTGTATTTATTTGTGCTACCTTTTTCAATTTAATTAAACAATTTAAAGCAAGCTTCCTTGTGTTGTGTAAAGTCTTAACAACAATATCACCCCTTTGTAAAAATGCAATGAGCGCAAACATTTAGGCAACATAAATGTAATTTTTGTTTGGATTGGAAAAAATGCCCCCCCTTTCTCCCCCTCAAAAAAAAATTCTCCCCCTCAAAAAAATTCCCCCCCATTTTCCAAAACGAAATTCAGGCCCTGAATTAAATTAAATATTATTAATCAAATATAACGACTAATACAACGTGTCACCAACGCCGCCTCAGATGCGCTTGTCAGAATGTGTGACTTGTGGACGCGTGCTCTTCCTGGAACAACGCACTTAAAACGGCAACTAAACCCAATGAATTCACACCGATTTAATAAAATAGTGTTCTCATGTTATGTAATATGACAGTCCCAAATGAATCCTCGTTATTAGTCGTGCATTCTGCTTGAGCGGCGCGCGCGCTGAATGAATAACTTAACCATTGAGCACTTTGCTAGCACGTTATTTAACTCAAAGAAACGCATCCTATGAGATTAATCAGATATATACGAAATAAACATAATATTACAAATTATATCTGCACAAAATGACGTGAATACAAAAGTGAACTTGAACTAAGTTACGTGCCATTCAGAATGACTCATGTTGTGGACGCGCTCTTCCTGGAACAACGCGACACGGCAACTAAACCCAAATAATTCACAATGTTTTATTATAATATTGTTCTCTTTATAATGTTATATAATATGACAGCCCCAATAGTCGTTATTAGTCGTGCATTGCCATTTGAGCTGCGCGCGCTAAAGATCACGCTGCGTCAATTCTTAACCAAATGCATCCAATATGAGATAAATCAGATATAGATAGGCGCACACAAAATAAACTATTACAACTTACATTTGCACAAAACAAAAGGCAGCGAATGCACACGCAAACTTATAGTCATGATGAAGGTTTAAAATAGTCCCAAACATAACTCCGGCGCGCTCACTTACATGTTTCGCGGTTGAGCAGCACGCATGCGCATGAACCTGCTTAATCGATGATCGATAAGGTTTATCGATTAAACGTGTTATCGACAATTAATCGATCGTCGATTAATCGTTGACATCCCTAATTTGTATAAATATATACACTACCGTTCAAAAGTTTGGGGTCGGTACGATTTTAAATACTTTTAAAATAATTCTCTTCTGCTAGCCATGGCTGCGCTTATTTGATTAAAAATACAACAAAAATCAGTTATAGTATTAAATATTATTCCAGTGTAAATCAGCTGTTTTCTGTGTGAATATATAGTAAAGTGTAATTTATTCCTGTGATCAAAGCTGAATTTTCAGCATCACCAGTGTCAGTGTCTTCAGTGTCAAATGATCCTTCACAAATCAGTATAATATGAGGATTTGATGCTCAAGAAACATTTATTATTATTATCAATGTTAAAACAGTTGTTGGTCTGTCAGTTGTACAGTTTTTTTTTTTTTTTTTTTTTTTTTTAGGATTCTTTGATGAATAGGAAGTTCAAAAGAACAGCATTTGTTTGAAATAGAATCTTTTGTAACATTTATAAATGTCTTTACTGTCACTTTCGATCAAATTAAGTATTGATTTCTTTCCTCCAAAAAATAAAAATAAAATTCTCACTGACCCCAAACTTTTGAACGGTAGTGTATATTTTTTTGCCTTTCACACTTGCCAAAAATATGATTGAATTCCAATCGGATATTCACAAAATTTTGATTTGGACTGACAGTCTGAACGAGGCTTTGTTCTCTTATATCTAACTGACAATAACTGAACGGTCTCAAGTGCTAATATTAAATGTCTTTCTCCCGTAGTGATTTTTGGTGAGGATGTGGCGTTCGGTGGGGTGTTTCGATGCACGGTCGGCCTCAGAGATAAATATGGTGAGTATATTCTCATGTCTGCTCTTAGGTCACATGAGGTGAAAGATCCTCATCTGTGTGTCCTGTGTTCTCGCACTAGATGGCGGCACTGTCGCGCTCCTGCCTGAAGCTTTGGCTGTTCACAATCACACACTTGCTTAAGTACTGCATACTTAAAAAAAATGCCTACACACAGTAAAGAGTAAGCTAGTATGTGTGAGGGGTGTCGGTTATCAATTTGGAAATATAAATGCGAAATGCTTTGAAATTTTGAAACTCTTTTTTTCTTCAATTTTGTATAAAAATGTCTTCCTTTTTGGGAGAATAATCAAGTATTACCAACTAAAACCATAACAAAAATATTGATTTGCATGAAATAAAATAAACATTAAAATAATATATAAACAACTTTTTAGTTTTGTTTAATAAAATAACAAACAAAATCAACTAAATCTATATAGACAAAAACTAATAAAAATGGCAAAACACAAACAAATGACTAAAACTTAAGCTAAAAATGTATATTTATGTAAAGCTAAAAATGTATATTTATGTAAGAAATAAAATCTAATTCAAAATATTAACATATGCAAAACATAAACAATGTTCTTTTGAACTTTCTATTCATCAAAGAATCCAGAAATAAAAGAAATCCACCAAAATATAAACACACGTTGCATAAACACACTATAAACACAGAGCACACATTGTTTTCAACATTGATAATAATCAGAAATGTTTCTTGAGCATTAAATCATATTAGAATGATAATGATAATTAGTAATGATGCTGAAAATACAGCTTTGATCACAGCAATAAATTACATAAAAAAATATTCACAGAAAACAGTTCTTTTAAATTGTAGTGGTATTTCACAATATTAATGTTAACTGTTTTTGATCACATAAATACAGCTTTGGTTAGTATAAGAGAGACTTTAACACATTTGAAAAAATCTTAACAAAAAAAATGTATCTGTAACTCTCATAAGATGCATCTTAAAAAGACTGTAAATGATAAAAAAAATATTGTTAAGTGTTTGAGACTAAAGACGATATAGAGCTTGTGTAAACGTCTCATCCTTTTAATTTTCCTAGTAAAACCAGCCCAAGGCAGTCTCACAAACATCAGTCTACAGGCTTTCATAGACAACTTAGAAAGTCTCGTCACAAGATGTTCACACATTGGCAATAAACAAGTAATTAATACATGAAAATACTTACATGTAGCTCCTTTAATTTAAAAACACATCTGACTTGTTTAACAGAGAAAATAATCATTGACTCAGGTTGTCTTTGTTGTAACTGGCTTGTTTCTTAATGTGGTGCGATTATGCACTTGACATTGATTATTGTGTGTTCCTCTGGATATTCATGTATGGATTTCTCTCTTCAAACCAAATTTAAAATCACTTTCAGTAGAACATGATGAATGTTTGTGCATTTGATGTCTCTCATTCAATTTGTTCAGCTTCATTAATTGGGCAAGAGTAAATGAAGTAGATTCAGATTGAACAGAACACCCTCTGCAGGTTTCATAAGCCATACATAGTTAAATTATGCAGCTGCAGAGAGTGGCATATTCAGTTAAGAAAGAGGAAAACAGACATTATGGTAATGATTAAAAAAACACATCTGCTGTTTGCCGCTCGTTTTGGACAGAAGCTCTATATATAGAGGCACTCTGTGATGTTTTGAAATAAACACAGATCCACGACTGCAATATGTCTCCTGCCGCGTGGGTGCCTTTTGTGTGTTATTGACGTCACAGGTGTTGACCTTTGAGAGGGATCATTATTTTCCATTCTGACTCGTTAGACGGGAACAGGGTTTTCATGCCACTCATTTGAGAGAGTCTGTGCCCTCTTCCCCGTGCGGTGCCGGTAAACCGTGCACAGGTCAATGCGCGGAGTGACGCACACATGGGCGTAATGCAGTGCCACTGCTGTCCGCTCCTTCTGTCTGCAATAACTGCTTTAAATTGCTTTCTGTGAAGTGGATTACAGACTGCGGCTGGTAAATACTGTATTATCTCTGAAATGCCCATCAGCAGCCTGTTGAATGCATACCTTCCTCAAAATACCTGATTCAACAAAGACGGTTCATTTCAAGGACCGTGACCGATATTTTACAGTAAACTGAAACTCGGAAGTAACCAGCAAACTCGTCTTCTTTTGCATCATTTCTTAAAGAATTGTTCCAGGTTTAATACAATATGATTTGCCCATGTGACCAGACAAAATCACTTTGAATTGTTCCTCAGTTTCTAAAAACAAGTAAAAAGGTTTATGGGGCAAGACATTCTGGAGACTTTAAAAGCAGAAATGTGCACCTTGTATTTTTGTTAAAGGTGAACTAAGTAACTTTTTTTACCTTAACCGAACAGCTTTGGAGTCATTGTAATGTTTATATTACTGATTTCGTGTTGAATGGTGGTCGTCTCGCACCCCCCTGGTGCCTGTGAGCCGCAAATCCACCCTTGCAACTTTGGGCCGGTGTTTTGACGATTTGTGCTGCCTTGTCGAAAAATGCTGCCGTAGCGCGAATCGATCACAGAATGTCGATTAATATTATATGAAATACAATTCTAATTTATGAGTAGCTACTGTATACTATAGACGACTGTTTTTATTTTTAAAACTGTGTGAAAAGTAAAAATTATCATCAAATATTCATCTTTGACTTGTCAAAGTACACCTTTCCTTAGTAACTGAAACTTTTAGTTATTCTTGTTCAGCTGGCTGACCGTACAAATATTCATATGGTAGTTAGCATTTTTTTAAAGGGAAATTACATTATAACACATGAATTTACCTTTCGTTAAAAAAAACTGAGTCTGCACATGCGCATAACCAGTAAGTAGCAAATCTCGATGGGTAGCATGAACACCGGCGGGCCGCCGGCCTCAGTGTTAGGAAGTATCGTGTGATATCAGGTCTCGCGAGGTAACGAATTGCTTTACGGCAAAAAACAGATCTGATAAAATTCTGAAAAAATGAGCATCAAACAGAAATAACCCGGCGCCGTATACATGTGGTGTTCAAGGCGCACATACAATACAGACTGCCGACAGTTAAACAGGGCGCGCGCAGCTCTTAAAGGGGCCATACCTTATTTCCACTCGTTACAGCTTCCATCCTACTGAACAGGTACCGGTGTACAGGGGGAGGGGATCCGACCGTGAGTGCGAGCCATCTCTGCGTGAGTGCTATTCACGACAGTACAAGTACTCCACAGCGACTCTAGGGGTCGCTGTTTGACAAAAACTGAATTTCTTCTTAGTGCTGCTTTAAAGGGGCTATGTGTAGGTTTTTACTTAAAAAAATCTCTAAGATAGAGTCTTCATTTGTACATTTATGAGCCAACCATAATGTAATAGAAAGAATGAGACCTTGACTGTCCACTGTAGGCTCAATTATCTGTGGAGGAGTCGGGTCCGAATTGGCGTGAAAATTCACAAAATGTGACGTCATGCGCGTTCTCGTCTACTTGGGCTTACATCCATACGGCAGCCATTAGTAAGCAGCGGCAATCGCTAGCAGTAGTGTTTCAAATGGACTCTGCGGACGGAAAGAAGCGACCAGCCTCCAGCACAATCCAGAGACCCACGAGAAAAAAAAATAAAAAAAGCCTAATCTAGTGCGGCCAACGAGCGTGTGAGCGTGCGCACCGAGAACGAGCATGAGACTGGCTGCAGTTTTTCTAACGGCCACTGGTGTCAGTAACGGTTAGAAATTTCAGAACTTCCTAGGGGTGTGACGAGATCTCGTGCCACGAGATCTCGCGAGACTAAAACATGACGAGATTTCTCGTCGAGCAAAAAGCTGTCTCGCGATATCGCCATGACTGAGCGTGAGGGTGAGATTACCATAGAATATTCCACCGCTACACTCACATTCGCCTAAACTATCGTTTTGCTGTTTTTATAAAAAAACAAAAAAAATCATAAAATAATGTAAAAGTCTGCTCTGCTCATCCAGCACGAGTTGCCGTTGCAATCAGTGCAGCACGAATCACAGTTCACTGATCGCGTGAGGATGGCGGAGGATTCGTTGCGCAACATAGACTAACGTCTGATAAATGTATTATTGTAGAATGCACGCTCAGCACCGCTGCTCCCTATACACAGAGTACGCGCGATCACGAAAGTGAAAGTAAAACACAAGCTCCCTGATGTGCATTGCGCACAAATTAGGCCGCGAACATACAATAGTCCATCTCCTAATACCCATCTCTGGACTGTTTATTTGCGGCTATGGTCTCAGTTTGCACTTCGAAAATATTGAGAGAGTACTGTAATGTCTTAAGGACAACAGACAAGGGAGGCTCTGTTTCTGAACTTATAATCGGAACGCAAGAACAACTGTGGAGACAAACACACCAGCCTCGTTTCTCTCTACCTTTTCCAAACTCACCGCATTAACCCTATAACTGCCGGTGCAAAATAAAACAGCAATTTGAAAACAATTATAAAGAGTCTGTGTGCTAACTTTGATTATGGTTGCACTTGCACTTATTGTTTGCGCTTAATAAGACTTCAAGGAGTTCAGTTAGGAGGTCACACACAGCCTCAATCAGAAGTTCTGAAAGCTCTTAAATGTACAGTAAGGGCTGAAGAGACTAATGTGAAATCATACAGAGAAAAACCAGTCAATAAAAACCTTTTACAGTGCTTGTATTTTGTTTTCTTTCAATGCATTTGATAATTCGTACTCATAATGCATGTCATTTCAGGTCTACTTTATAAGATTATTAGTTAAACATTGCAAAATGCACCTGCATACTATTTTTCCAGTCATGAATTTTGTCATTGAGGATTTCTGAAAAATAGTGCAAAAATCTTGTTCTCGTGAACTCAATCTCGTGTCTCGTCTCGTGAGATAAGCGTCTCGTCACACCCCTAGAACTTCCGCAATGCTCCTTTAAGGGTACACTATTTAACTTTTTTTTTTTTTTTTCAAGACATCATCAATCCTTCTTCCAAAATGTGTTTTTGTCTTACCCTAATTCACTATGGTAAGCCTATTATAAATGTTTGTATTTTAAATCTAGTTGGATGGTTTTCGTGGGAAATTGCGTATTTGCGGCACTCGCCCGTGCGTGTCTCGCCATATCCGTAAATAAAAGAAAGATTGACATGGAGCCGCTAAATCTCAAAGTCACTGGTTTAGTGTGGTAATCAGCAGCATGTGACCAATGCGGCCCATAGAGCTTAACTTGAATTAAACCCAGAACAATCCTGTAACCGCTGTTATTCTGTATAAAAATGGTTTCATGTGTGATTTCACAGAAGTATTACGTCTTCAGTAGATTCATGTTTGAGCGAAGGTTCAGAGGAGGATACGCTCATGTGCTTTGGCTTGAATGAAAATAACTTTCCACTCTAAATATACAGTCCGTTTCATGTGGTTCGGTTGCATCAAAGGGGAGGCGAAAAACAGGCTGTGTTTTTGAGTTTCCCTGATTTTGTGTGTTTGTCCTGTTTCGTTTTGCAATATAATTCAATTATGAAAAAAAAATATTTTCAGCAGATTTTATGTTTTGAGGTTGGTGCTTTAATTAGTTCAGTCCTGCCCTGTAGCTACTAATGTAAAAAACACATAAATATCCCTTAAAAGCAAACCGTCTGCTGAATCATGGCGGTCATGAAAACACAAAGCATGTCTTTTGAGTTTTAACTGTTCATCTGCCGCGATTGGCTGTGATTTGAAAATTTCCTTGTTGCGTCATGGGCCGTTTTCACATTTGGTGTCGACAAATTGCTTGTAGCTGGCATCTTGTCGTTGGTTTTGAAGATGTCAATAACAAAAACATACTCATTTTGACTTGTATAAGTCCAGAGTAGGTTGACATTTACCACTTTTCTTCACAGGTAAGGACCGTGTATTTAACACCCCGCTGTGTGAGCAAGGCATTGTGGGGTTTGGGATCGGTGCAGCCGTCGCAGGAGCCACCGCTATTGCAGAGATTCAGTTTGCCGACTACATTTACCCAGCGTTTGATCAGGTGAGCTTGTTTACTAGGGTCTTTATAAACACCATCATGGATATTTCTTTTAAAAAAGTACATTTATAATGTTAGTTAAAGGTTTAGTTCACCCAAAAAGTTCACTTTGCTAGGTCTGGGTTGGACCCCCTTTTGCCTTCAGAACTGCCTTAAGTCTTCATGGCACAGATTCAACAATGCGCTGGAATCATTCCTCAGAGACTTTGGTCCATATTGTCATGATAGCATCACACACTTGCTGCAGATTTGTCGGCTGCTCATCCATGATGTGAATCTCCAGTTCCAGCAAATCCTAAAGATGCTCTACTAGATTGAGATCCGGAGGCCGTTTGAGTTTAGTGAACTCATCGTCATGTTCAAGAAACCAGTTTGAGATGATTTGAGCTTTGTGACCTGCATTATCCTGCTGGAAGAAGCCATCAGAAGATGGTTCACTGTGGTCGTAAAGGGATGGACGTGGTCAGCAACAGGTAGACTCAGGTGTGCTGTGGCGTTTAAACCATGCTCAATTGGTAATAAAGGCCGAAAGTGTGCCAAGAAAATATCCTCTACACCATTTACACCACCAGCAGCCTGAACCGCTGATACAAGGCAGGATGGATCCATACTCTCATGTTGTTTACTCCAAATTCTGACATAAACTAGACGTCTAGAGATCAGGGTTTCCGTTGTCCGGTAATTACCGGACATTGGCCGGGAAAAAATTAAATGTCCGACAAAATTCAATCTCTCCGGTCAAATTGTCCAATTAAAATTGCATAATAATCCCGCCCCCCTAACATAATGAATTTGTGAATAAGCCTAAAATGTATAAAGCAAAAATGCACCGACCTTTGGCTATGTTATAAAGGAACAGGCTCTACCGTTTGAAAGTTATTAATCGCAATCGCATGCCTCATTTCAAATAAAGCGCACGCCTAAAACGGCTGTAATGTAGACCTGAACAACGAACGATTGAGTGAGACGTTTCAAATATGGCCAGGCCCAGGCAGGCTACCCTTAAAAGCTTTTTTCAGTGGCCAGACGCGACGGACGATGGTGAATCAGGAACATCTCATTATATAGATCAGTGGTTCTAATCCGCGCATTCGTATATGCTACAATTTTGATTTTTTTCTCTCATCAAAACTGAATAGCCTATGTTCATCAGTGGTTACAGCCTATATCAAGCAGGGACACGTTTGTGTGCATTTTATTTTGTGATTTCACCGGAATGAATAGAGTCTCAGCCACGGCGATAGGTTGAAACGCACGTCCGAGTGAAGATAGCGCAACTCGCGCAGCGCGTCGTCCATGCAACTGATAGCAGCGGACACGAGCGCTCAGCTTGATTTCAACAGATTTTAGCGCTAGATCTCTTATTTAATAGCGAACTAAATGAATGATCTGCTAGTTAACTGGAGATGTTTTATTTATTTGTATTAGGTACATCCGTGCCTCAATGTTTCAAAAAGTGAATGTGTCTGAAACCATAGTAAAAAACAATTGGTGTTGATTGACGCCAATCGGACGTTCATGTTTTTTCCGTCTATTTGAAAGTTAGGCTAATAATAACATGTTGCATTCTATACGGCATGATTGTGTAAATTTTTAAGTTACATAGCCTGCCTCCAGTTTTCCTAAACTTGACTAATTAAGAGGCGATATTTGCCGGCATATCATCAAAATGTCGGTAAAACGAAACCTCTGCCACGAAACCACTTTGACCGGCACCATTTTTTTCTAGCGGAAACTCTGCTAGAGATGGTTGTGCATGAACATCCCAGTAGATCAGCAGTTTCTGAAATACTCAGACCAGCCTGTCCGGAACCAACAACCATGACACGTTTAAAGTCACTTAATCACCTTTCTTCCACATTCTGATGCTCAGTTTGATCTTCAGCGGGTCATCTTGACCATGTCTACATGCCTAAATGAGTTGCATTGCATTACATGCATTGAGTTGCTGTCATGTGATTAGCTGATTAGATATTTGCATTAACGAACAGTTGAACGGGTGTACCTAATAAAGTGGCCAGTGAGTGTATAATAATAATAATTACTAAATAAGAGTATATAAAATGACTACATAAAAACAAAAATTTTCTATTGATATTTTACTGTAAAATAAGATGAAATAAAAATATGATTTTTACTTTACAACTTTAAAATTACAATGTTGATATTTATAATCTTATTTCCTTAATTTTCAAACGTTAAATCTTTTTTTTTATGCTCAAACAGAAACAGAAAAAGTGAAAAAGCGCTTTAATGTTTTCATAGGAAGATGCAATGATCTCTGTATGTGGCCCGCATGAGCTCTTTCCGGTCAGGCAGTCAGTGTGTAGTTGTGTGGTGTTTGTGAGACGCTGGCTGGTCGATCTGTAGGAGGAAACGTCCAGCTTCTGTCTGTCTGGTGCCGGTGTTTTCCGTGTGTCCTCGCCTCACTGAAGATGGATGAGTTTTCCCTTCATTGTCAAGGCAACCGAATACCAGATGCAATAATGGGGGAATATTTCACACCACGTAGTCTCTCAACATCCGAAATCTGACCGTCCAGTGAGCAAAGGATTTGAGTCTGGACAATATCTGATATTTCTGGAAGCTCTTTCACATGCTTTATTCTCTTCATTATCATATCATTATGCCTCCATTAGAGTCGGTAAAACCCTCATTTACATTGTTCCTTCCTGGCCGTTGTTGTCGAGCATTGTAAGAGAATTTCCTGGCTCCACGCTTTGTTAATTTTAAAAAGCTTTGGCGACGATGGCAGGAAAAATCGCCTTTTAAACTAAAGCATTTTATGAGCGGAGCTTTGGATGTGACCGCGTTGGCGTTGCGGAGCCCGTCTTTTCTTCCACACAGATGTGAGTTGTAAATGTAAATCCCTTTTTCCGTGGATCTTTTTATGCTGTTGTAGATTGTGAATGAAGCGGCCAAGTACCGGTACCGTTCGGGGAACATGTTTGACTGTGGGAAGCTGACCATCAGATCTCCGTGGGGCTGCGTGGGTCACGGCTCGCTCTATCACTCCCAGAGTCCAGAGGCCTTCTTCGCACACTGTCCTGGAATTAAGGTGAATCGCACAAAGAAATTATATTTTCATAACAGAAAATTAAGCCTGTTTTTAGGGCCATTGCATTATTTGACTCTTGATGCTTTTTTCATGACAGTTAAAGGGTTAGTTCACCCAAAAATGATCATTCTCTCAGTAATTACTCAACATGTTGTTCCAACCCCGTAAGACTTTCGTTCATCTTCAGAACACAAATTGAGATATTTTTGATTAAATCTGAGAGCTGTCTCACTCCTCCATAGGCTTCTTTGTATTTGAAACTAACCAGAAAGTTACTGAACACAATGTTTAAAGTAGTCCAAGTGACTACAGTGGCTCAACCTTAAGTTTATCAAGCGACGAGAATACTTTTGTCTATTGAGAGAGTAACATAGAAATCCCTTAATTTCCCCTATTTTTCTTTTAAACAATATGAACTGGAACACCTTCTCCCCCTGGACTCCGTCCCCCCGCGTTACCCCCCATATCCAGCCCTAGATATAACGATAGTTTTTCTTAAATAAAACTGTAAAATGCTGATGAACTTCAGTGACTCTTTAGGTTTCAAACTTTTTGAGCAATTTTGCTGGGCAATCTTTGCTTGGCAATTGTTGCTTGGGCACTTTCCCACTGAAAATGGGCAATAAATCTTCATAACACAGCTTGATATGTTTATTAATAAACACTGAATCATGAACGTGATTTCTGCGTTGAGTCCCGTCGGATGTTTCCATCGGCTGTGGAGGTGAAGACGAAAACTCCCATGATCCCACGCTCATTCACGGTGTCTTCAAACTACGCCTTTGTTTTGAATAAGCGACCTCTAGTGGCGAAACTTACTAACCGTGCCTTTAACTAAAACTATTACTGTAAGATGAAAAACTTACAATGGGAAATGTTGCCTTGACAATTAACTGAAATACGTTCAAGCTAATGTAAAGATAAAATAAAGCTGAATAGAAATGTAAAAATGACATTAAAATAACTAAAACGTACGGTAACGCTTTACTTGAAGGGGTGTACATAAGACTGACATGACACCTTCATAACCATGATATGACATATGTCATGAATATGAAGTAGGGTTTATGCATGTTTGTGACAACTGTCATTAAGTGTCTTTCGCTCAATAATGACATTTTGAATGTAAATATGACACTGTTTAAGATGTCTTTATGACACCTTGACATAAACCATAACATCATAACCCGTCAGTGTCTTTGTCATGACAACTTGACATTAAATTAAGTTAAACTGTCATGTGGTTGGTTTTGACACTGGCTGTCATAAGGCAATTATAAATGTGTCATGAATATTTTTCTTGACCTCAACTACAGTGGTACAAATTGAATTTGTCATTAAACAGTTATAATGGCTTCATGACAGCCAATGTCAAAACCAACCACCTGACAGTTTAATGTAATGTTAACCAATAAAGCTAAGTGGTTCCTTAAGTTTGATAATTAATCTGCTATGTCATGTTTATGACAGGTTGTGTTGTCTTAGTAATGTCAAGTTGTCATGACAAAGACACTGTAAGGTTATGATGTATTGGTTTATGTCAAGGTGTCATAACAAAGACATCTCAAACAATGTCATATTTGCATTAAAAATGTCATAATTGAGCGAATGACACTTAATGACAGTTGTCATAAACATGCATAAAACTTCCTTCATATTCATAACATGTGTCATGTCATGATTATGAAGGTGTCATGTTAGTCTGCACACCCCTTCAAGTAAAGTGTTACCAAACGTACTAAAAATAGAATTGTAAATGAAAATGTAAAAAAATAAAAGCATATTCAAAATAGTCTATAATAATACTAAAATAACACAGCTTTAAGCTGAAGCACGAGACCGTGTGATTTGACCCGACCAGTACAACGTTTCAAACGTTTTTTTTTTGGTTTCCTAGTGCATCAACACAGAGATTGTCGTAGACTGTGAAGGACTTTGTTCACAAAGGGACTTACTTTAAAATGGAGTGGAGGATCCATGTATCCGTGTGCTAAATGTAATCATAAACTCACCAGTCTGTGATAGATTATACGGAAGCGCTCTTTACTCATCTCACCCGCAATGCAACACAGATTTTTCACGCTGCATCAATACACTCAGGAAATTGCCGTATGAATCACAATCATAGCAGATCGATGCTTGACTCACTATATAGTGACCTGCACCTGCATCATCTGGATCAGCCGGATGACCACAGACTGGACGTTTAATGAGCCGACACACAGTGTCAGAGCTGATTTAACCTCAACGCTGGTCTTCACCCTTCACAGTTTGATTCTCATCGCAACACAAATCTTTGTTATGCACCAAATCTTATGCAGTCTTCATCTGTAATGGTCTAGGTCAGTTTCAAAATCTGTTTGGAATGCTTTTTCATGGCTTTTGATAGCAAGTCACTTTTTTTTATCTAGAGGCATCTTTAAAGCTGCAGTCTGTAACTTTTTTTGGGTTAAAAATGATCCAAAAATAAAATTGAGCAAATACATAACCAGCCAGTGTTCAAAACTCTCTGCTTGCCGTAGCTCGATTCAAAGCGGTAAGCTTGTAATAATGTTTTTAACTCCAGTGGTACTGGTGGATTTCCTCGGGAGATTCGAGCATGTCTTTGCGTCATTACGTCACATCTGCACACACACATCTGTACACACACACATCTGTACACATAAAGAAGAGTCTCGGCTAGTATAAGCCATATTGAGTGGGATGTTGGAGGTGGAGATTTATAGCCTTTTCTCACAGCACTTGATATAATTAAACTTATCAATTTGATGGCGGATCCAGAAAGGTTCAAACGACAATCACCAGCGACAACTAGAGATTCACCCGCTGTAAAATGCAAAAGACTTATAAATGTACCAATGACCCGTTTAACTTTTTGTTTCTCTTTAATAAAACAAATATTATAATTTGTTTCTCTCTTTCTCTCTCTCTTAGATTGTTGTGCCGAGAGGTCCGGTCCAGGCCAAGGGTCTTCTTCTGTCCTGCATTGATGATAATAACCCATGCATCTTCTTTGAGCCTAAAATCCTCTACAGAGCAGCAGGTGAGAGGAGGTTGTTATTTTCATACATCATTACTGTTGGTCACCTTTTACATCTTTATGTCCCCATTTTTAACCCTTGAAAAGTATTAAAAAGAGCTTGTGACTAAACCTCATAACTCCATGAGATCCTCAAACTGTTGGTCAAACCTCATAACTCCACCCGCCTCTATCGTGAATCAAGTGCCACACACTTTTTGGACCGTCTCTGCTTGTTTGCCATGCAAGGATAAACAAAAAAACTGGTTGATTTGAATAAGTAAATCTTAATTGCTCTTGTGCTACAATCTTTTTGTTCATTCATCATGCGACTAATTACTCTGAAGATTTAGGATCAAGAAAGTGACATTATTAAAACACTTATTGGCTGATGAATGCACAGTCTCAATTCTTCACTAGTCACAATCCTGATCTGTAATGTCAAAGAGAAGAACCTCCAGTCCAGAACACATCCGTCATTATACAATGAAATATTGGCTGTTTTTATATATATTGCATATGAAAACATTTTGTTGAAAATACAGGGTTACTTTGGAATAGATAGTCTTTTCTCCCATATAATTATGTAGTTACAGCATCATCCATCTGGGGTTCATCTAACCACAGCCAAAACTAACCAACCACACTTTCAGCCATCGGTTAGGAGGAGAATAGTAAGTGTGGCTCTAAACGACACAATCCTCATGTCCAAAGTAGTGGCGAAATAAAGAGTGGAAAAGGAAATGTATGCAGGTTTAAGGAAGTCAATGCAAGTGTTTTTTCCATGAGGAATGGTGCATATTTATCTCCCGACGCCTCGGTTTAAATCTGCTTTCTGTCCGTCTTCAGGTTCACTCTCAAATCTGATTTATGTGTCTCTCAAGAATTTTGTTGAATGACTTTAATTTCCTGACTGAACATTGGAACTTGTTTTAGGATCTTTGGCTCTTTATCATTATTTGGTTTTAATTTTAGAGCTTTTTCTTTTTTCATGCAGTTATTCTTACACGATAGGAATAAATCATTCAGCCATTTAGTTTATATAAATCTTGATTTCAAAAACATTATACGTTTACTTGATGGCAATGTGGAATTTTCCAATTTCCACCTTGTTTTTTTTTTTAATTAGTCATTATTGCCAACATTGAATTGAATGTCATAAATTGTAGCTCATGCAAGTTTAGTTGGCCTTAAATATGGTTTTGATTTATTACATGGTATTTAGAAGTTCACATCACCTTCTATGTAAAATTAGTTAGCTTTGTAAATCGTCCCTTTGTAGTACTAGGGTGTTGCTAAGGTGTTAAGGCTTTTTGCATGTGGTTGCTAGGGTGCTCTGTCAAGAGTCAAATCCCAAGACTAGTTGTGTTTAGAGAGTTTTAACATTGTCAATACACACCTATTATAGTCAACAATGCTGTCTACACTGCAAGCATGCAGTTATCTACACATCAGATATCTTAGGGAAAATTATATTCATTATATGAGGTATCTTTCATGTTTTTAGCATAAGCATGTATCTTTTTCCATCTCTGAATTAGGTTTTTATTAAAGAGTGGTTTTACCATTAAATCCAGCAGTATTTTTAAATGATAGAGTGCGTGTCAGCTGGAAACACACATCGGGCATCCAACAACCTACCACTCGAAATAATCTGGACCATTAGTGATGCATTTTCACTCGACTTCATCAATCACTTGAACCCTAGGGTAAAACCTCCTAACCACAAATCACTGAGCTCCGCCTGAGCCGCTCCAGCAGGCAGACCATCACTGCGATCAATAGCCTTCAGTCCTTTTTTAAATATTTAAATCGAGTGTGATGAATAGCATTTTTTAATTTATTTTTTTGCTGCAAGAATCCTGTTGATGTTGGAATCAAGAAACGGGCTGTGAGTAAACATTGGAGTCACTGTCGGTAGAAAGTTAATTCATTTGTTCTTTGCCACTGAGCCTTAGATTGGGTAAGCGGAGCTGCTCGTGTATGCAGTCCCACATGTAGCTTACTTAAAGGTGCAATGTGTAATATTTCTGAGGATCTATTGACAGAAATGCAATATAAGATCCATGACTATGTTTTCAGTGGTGTCTAAAGACCTTACTCAATGAATCGTTATGTTTTTATTACCTTAGAATGAGGCATTTATATCTACATAACCGCGGGCACCCCCTTCTATGAAGGTCGACATATTGTGACGTCATGTTTCTACCGTAGCCGAACGCGAACAAACAGAGCGTTTAGTTCATACCTTGAAAGAGAAGCCTCAGAAAGCTAGAAGCCATAGACACCGTGAGTAGTGACTTTTCCCTTGTCAGTGGTGTAAAATATGTAGTTGGATTGTTTCATTAAACTTAGTTCTTCTCCCTCGTTGTGTTATGGCTTTGACAATCAGCTGATTAGTACTATTGACCGCAAAACAGTAACGTTAACGTTACAGGAGTCACCAACCCGTCGATTCTCGAGTTTTCAAAACCAGAGAATTTTTTATTTTTTTTTCATTATTATTTATTAATTTGTGTGTAGTAAATGGTGTCTAGGGGATGCGGAGGCGCGCGCGCTGTTACAATCATGTCATTTTTGCCGCGCGCACCTTTGGGCTCATGCGGACGCGTCGAGTTTAAACAAGGCTTAACGCTTTAACCAGCTCAGCCACAGTCACAGCTCATATTAGCCAGCTAAACCTTTACTACCCTGTTAGAAAACATATGTAGTTGGATAGTTTCATGTGGTTCTTCTCCCTCGCTGTATTATGGGTTTGCTATGTGGGGAGAAATGTGCTGGTTACGTTCGTGAGACAATCAGCTGATTACTATTATTATATTATATATTAAGACCCTTGATCCTCACCTGACTATGGCTTTGTAAACTTTATCCATGATGTGGTTTATAATGGACTGTGGTACAGAAACGGTGACAATCTTACACACTCCTGGCTTACTCTGGCTATTCTCTGCTGTCTCAGACGACGATATGTTTGTCCCATTTTAGCCACCGTAGCTTCTTCGAAAGGGAGGGGTGAGCAGTGGGCCCGAACCGCTAGATGCCGCTAAAATCTGCACACTGCACCTTTAAGAAACACATAGCAGCCGTTGTAACTTTACATAGTTATACATACTAGCAGGGTTTGTCATTAACACACATATATAATTGTGTGGAATTTTATATAATATACATTTTTCAATTCTTTTAAAAAGGCTTCTGAAATAATAATAGTACTAGTAGTAGTATAGGTTTCATGAGTCAACTTGCTTGGTTCTAAAGCAAAATGCACACATTAGTAATATTTCTCAACTAAAATAGCAACAACAACTAAATGATTAACATCTGTAATGATCAATAAGCCATTGATGTCTGGATAAAAATGACTCTCCCCCTTCCTGTCTAACGGGTAGGACATATACATAAATTGAATAAAGTTATCAAACAGTCTGCGCTGCATAAATTATCAATTATATAGACTAATCCTTATTAAAGCTACAAAAGTTCTTTAGTCAAGAGCACTGAGTAATTTTCTCTGACAGAAAGCTTTATTGGCTGCTGGCCCTTTAAGAGCAGCCGCTGTTGACAGAACTCTTTACGTCCATCATAAGACTGCTCTTATGTTATGAAGTTACTCGACAAAACGACATTTTGTCATTATTGTGTGTTATTGTTCGTTCAAGCGCGTAAGAGAACTGTATTCTGGCGCGGGGTCTGTGCATGCGCATGATACTGGCTTTAGACTTGTCGGTCATGAATGGTTTAAAAGCATTCGCACAAATAAGAGTGGGATCATAACACTAGCCAAAGGATGACAAAAAAATAAGAGATGCTGCGTTAACAGCCCTAATTTGATTATTTCATATAAAATCGCAGCATTTTGCATCATTGACATCGCTATTGCGATATGATTAAGCGTGCTGCACTATTTCAGACAGCGCGCGAACACAAAATGTAGGTCTCTTTCGCGTCTCCTTGCTCTTCAACAGACACATACACACCAAATTATCTCAAAATACCCGTTTCTGCAAGTATACTCATAAACGCAGTCAGTTATGTATGTCTTAAAGGGATACTCCACTTTTTTTGGAAATAGTCTCATTTTACAACTCCCCCAGAGTTAAACTGTTGAGTTTTACCGTTTTTGAATCCATTCAGCCGATCTCCGGTTCTGGCGGTACCACTTTTAGCATAGCTTAGCATACATCATTGAAGTGGACAATCTAGCTATGCTAAAAGTGGTACCGCCAGAACCGGAGATCGACTGAATGGATTCAAAAACGGTAAAACTCAACAGTTTAACTCTAGGGGAGTTGTAAAATGAGACTATTTCCCAAAAAAGTGGAGTATCCCTTTAAGTGAATGTAAACAGTTGAGAGAAATCGAATGTGTATCAGTATAATGGACCCGTGCATTCGGTCTTAAAGTGACAGCAGCCAATACAGTCCTTCCAGAAAAACGCAGAGTTTTTTTGTGATTGTTGCGGGCAAAAATCCTTGATTACGCGGCCCGTTTTCTTAAAAAATGCGATGGAATATGCGGGATATTTATGCAATTTTTTGCGATGAAATTGCGGGAACTTGCAAAAACTGCGGTTTGATGAAAAAGAGAAAAAAAAGTGATTCCCCCGACACCCTGTTCTCACTAATATGCTACTACCTTAATGTAAAGAGTCCTTTCTTATTATCTTTACCTGAATACTACTCTTATACCTTAGTTCTTATGTTAATAATAATGCTTTGGTATTGAAGTACTTAAAGTGTTCTTTAAGTAATAAATGGAAAGTAAAGTTACATTTGTGTTTTTTCAATTGTCAATTATGTGATCCTTTTGCACCCCAATGCATATACCTCATTGCCAGCTTAGTGGTTCCATCGAAGTTTTATTAATACAATAAATGTTCATTTGGTTTGCTATGGTTATCCCAATTTGTGTTCATAATCATTAAACTAATCATAATAATTGTGCTTAATTTGTATTTAGGCTAAACAGTATTTTTTTAGTATCTTAAACTCTCCTGTCCAAGCAGCTTTTAGCACTAAAACAAGAGATCTTAGCACCCTCACTTGACCATTATAATTAGATACATTTATTACATCACAATATTTCTCACCTGATTATTGCAACATCCTGACAGCGTTTCATTTCTTGATCGATATGTAAAAATGTTTTATTGCTACACTGGTTTGTTATTCTGCCAGGTTATTATAATCAGATGTGCTGCAGGCAAACTACAATACAAAAAATCCTGGAGCAGTTTGCTGTGTGTGTTGCTGCTTCGCATTACTTCAGGGTTTAGAGCCAGTTTAAGGAACAAGATGGTTTTTATGAACCTGTGGGCCAAAAGCCTATGAGACTGTAAAACCAAAGTCCCTTTTAGACAAGTCATTTCACTCGGTGGCCATCTTTGAAACGCCTCATGCAAGTGCAGCTTCCATCTCTTTGAATGGGGAAACGGGGAAACATCAAATTCTCCAAAACTGTTCACTAAGCTTACGATTAAATTTCATATTTGAATTCATCAATGAAATCTGACAACAACGGTCTCATAAATTTTGTTTCTAAATGCTCAAATCTTGACACAAAACGCCGTTTTCAGCCTGGACAAAGTTATTGCCCTGTCTTATAACACTGACTGTTTCTATCCACCTTATTCCTACGCCCCATGATGCTTTGCGCGAATTATGGGTGTAAAGTTTAAAAGAATCAACAAGGTACTTTTCAACAGACCAAAAATAGCCCCAAAAGCGCGAGTCTTTGGTTAAATCTCACTGTAGTAGGCAAATATATCTCTGTATTGTATAACAAGCCTTAATCAAAAATGTTCATTAGCATTACGTGACACTATATCAAAGTGATTTCCATCATTTTGACAGATTATAAATTGCATTTACCTGTGAAAACAAACCTGGAAAGAGACGTGAGGATTATTGAGAATAACGAGAGATTCTTCGTGCATTCCAGTGAATTATTAATAGAATATCGTAAATTAAATTCGGGAGAACAGACCACAGATGTGCCGTATATATGTTGTCCTTTTTCATACTTTTACAGCGGATTGCAAAGGAAAAAATAAAAATCATCATGAGGAAAAGAAAGCAGCGACTGAAAGAGCTCTTGCCGTAGATATTCTTGTTATAACATGTCACGTTAAAATACCAAGTATAACGTTATTCTCATGATGTCTGAAAATAAATCATGAAGGAAAATTGACGGATCAGCTTTATTTGTAGGGCAACCTTATGATTTGAAATGATTCATTTTTAGCCTTTTTGAATTGAAGTTCCCCAAACCGGAAGTGCCACCCATAATTCAAAACGCAGTAAGCTCGTCAGGAATAAGGTGGATAGCAACCGGAGCTTCTAACAGCAGCTGCAGTGATGCGATGACTTTACTAATCAACGATTGGCTCTTTCATTTAGAAGGCGGGGCTTTTTTGCCATTTTGGGTGTTGCACTTTCTCTTATTCGTAAGTAATCGGAGTGCACCGTCTTCCTATATATAAAGTCTTTGGTACTGATCATAAACTGAACTGCTGTTAAAGCAACGTTAAGAATAATTCCAAGCTAGTAGGTTTTCAAAAAGAGTAGCATTGTCAAAAAAGTTAAGTACTTTTTAATAGTATTCCACTTTTAATAATAAAAGAACTGGAATACTACTTCCAAAGTACACGTGAAACATTAAAATCGCTCATTCTTAGCTCTTCCTGGGTTTCCCAAAGAAAGTTTTTGCTTAAAGTACAAGCAGAAAATAGACACATAATGGTACATAAATGATCATGTGGATTTTTTCCACTAGCCTCTGTTTCTAATTCCGAGCAAAAGTCCTAACCAACCCAAGTCATCTTCAACAATTTTCAACAAAATTACTTTTAAACCTCATTGTCAAAAGCAGCAAGTTTTCCCAGAAGGCAGCAGACAATGACTTCAATGAGCATATACAAGGGGGATGCGGAAAATGGCTGTAATTAAACATAATTTAGCCATAAAGATAATTCAGCTTGAATCAAAAACAAAACCTCATCATGAGAGATGACAGCTGTGAAAAGTTATTTCTGTACTCATGCTGTCAGGTGAGACGACAACCTTTCTTTAGCTAGTTATCTTGTTCCTTCCAGCCGTGCAAAACTCACCCTGATGCCAACTTACACACCTATCCGACGCCAAAGAATAGGCTGGTCTTATTCCTTGCTTTTTTTTGTACTGCAAGAATGAACAGATCCCATATTCACCCTCTCATCAACTCTTTCCCTCTTTCCCCCATTCATCTCAATACTCAAACCCCCGTTCTGCCAGCTGGAAGACCATTGCAGTGTTTCCGTCTAGAGAAACTGAAGACTGATGGATGAGTAGTTAAGATCTGAACATCATGCAACCATTTTTTCCCCCTTGTCCTTCAAGATATATTCTCAGACTTTTATTCCACCAATATAACAATATAGCGGTTTCCTCCGCAGTTTATGGATTTAATCTCAACCCTATAAAGTCAACCGGATCACATTTGATACGCAAACTTCTCTAAATGATCAAAACTTTGCTGAAAAACCTGTTGCACACAATCTACTTCATGCCTTGCTGTCTGATTGATAGTTTAGCAAATAAAAAGCGCTTTAGTATAATTGTAAAAATGTATACCTTCAGCTCATGTTTTACGTGTCTTTTTGCCCTGAAATCTTTACTAATTTAATAAAAAAAGGAAACATAAGGCCATGTGTCCACCAAAGCATTATTTCCCGTGCCTGGCGTATTTTTTAAATTGTTTTCAATGGGAGCGTCGCGTTTTTAAAACGCCATGAGCGTAACGAGGCGCTGAGCGGTGTTTTCACGCTGAAGCGCTGATCGCTCTGTGTTTTACAGGTTGCCGAGAGTTGAAGAATGTTCAACTTTGGGTAAAACGCAGCGCTCATCACTGCCACTTTTTTACCCAGCCGTCCAATCACAGTGGAGGAGGGGCGGGGCTAATACCACACCGACCAACTGTCACAACATTCTTTCAGTAAACGACATCAACCAGCAGAGCTTACCGAACAAAATGGATGAGAAATAAATTTTTAGTATGAAACAAATTATACGCACAACCGGCACATCCGGAAACTTAACTGTCAATTTCGTCCCCGCCCCTTTTTGGGGGAAAACAAACTAGACAAAATAACGGCAAAAACCAACGTCCGTACATAGCCGACAGGAGTAGTAAATAACTTAAGAAATCACTTATATAAAACATGTCAAGTAATTATATGTCCACCCTGCCTGCCATAGAGCCTAAAAGATACATACACAAACTTAACTTGGTCAATTTAAAAACATGTCCGTTTATTCTCCCAGCGTCAAATTGGTGTAACAACCCCACCCAGTGAGGTTATATATATATTATAATGTATATTATAAGACATAATATATACATTTAAAGACGTTTACTTTCAGAAACGAAGTAAAATCATTCACTGGCTTACCATATGGTGACTCGATGAAGTACGATACGAGTAAATGTCAGGGTAAGACCATAGACCGTAAAAGAAAGACACCTCTGGCCACTGGGTGGGGTTGTTACACCAATTGGACGCTGGGAGAATGAGGGGACATGTTTTTAAATTGACCAAATTAAGTTTGTGTATGTATCTTTTACGCTCTATGGCAGACAGGGTGGACATATAATTACTTGACATGTTTAATCTTAATGATTTCTTAAGTTATTCACGCCTTTCGGCTGTGTACGGACGTTGTTTTGTGACGCTATTTTGTATTGAACTCTATGGGAAGTCTAGTTTATTTCCCCCAAAAGTGGGCGTGAATCTGTTCAGAGACATTCTATGGCGTAGCGCCGGGTGTGCGTATCTGCGAAATCAGTTACAAGTAAACTGTGCTGTGGATATTCTGTATCATAGCAACGAAACGTCTCAATGGAAAAAATGCTGCGCTGCCAAAATGCTCTCAAGCGCCCACAGCTAGGTGTTTTGGTAACGCTTCCTTTTGCAGCCCTGTTACCCATGTACTTACTATGTACTTATTATAGTAATTACAATTACTGGGTAATAACTAGGTACTAACCCTGAACCTACCCCTAACCCATGTACTTACCTTATATTAGCCAGTACTTTCTAGTTAAGTACACTAAGTACTGTTAAAGGAAGTGTTACCGGCGTTTTCAGCTGGCTAAAAACGCTTTGGTGGACGCACGGCCTAAGAATAACTATTATAATGGTAGTAATATTTCAAAATGAACACTTACTGGACTAAAGTAACTTAGGTTTACTTGCTTATCCATACATCAACAAGATCTTATGGATTTACATTACAAGCTATCAGAATTGCATTTTTTTTTTTGGCTGTATAAATATCAGCATCTGTTCCAAATTTCATATTTTTGCTCAGTTTGGGCCTCTTAATGAAACTGATATGAGCCATTAAAGCCTGATGTATCAAATATGATACTATACAAAAAAAAAACCATGCGTTTTTTTTTTTTTTTTTTTTTTTATTATCTTTTTTTATTATATATTTTGTCTAAAAGTCCAATAAATAATTTCCATATGTCAGGCTTTACAGGGTGAATGTGTGCCTGTTCTGTCTATGGTGATGTGTAATCTGTGATTTTGCTTTGCAGTGGAGCAGGTTCCCACAGAAGCCTATCACATCCCTCTCTCCCAGGCCGAGGTCCTGCAGGAGGGCAGCGATCTCACGCTGGTGGCCTGGGGAACACAGGTATGTTTCTCAGACCTTATCAGACTACACCATCAGATCATGATTTCAAAAGCTCTCTGGGTGTCCTGAAGCTCAGCTCAGCTGCTGAATGACTGATGTACCTCATGACGAAGTGCAGAGAACTTCCAAGGCTTGTTTCTAATGGACGATAGTACTGTGTTTGTTTTCTTTTCATTCGTCCTACCGAGACTATATACATGAGCAGCACAAACTAGGGCTGGGAGATGAATGAAATATTATATTATTATTAATTATTAGCTGTCACGCCGTCTGAACACAAACATAACCTCACCATTGGCTAGAGAGACAGCAGCCAACAATACAACCTAGTGTCAGAACTTAGTCTTTAGCGTAAACGGCAAGTTAACCTTTGACCTTTGGGTTACAGGTACATGTGATGAGGGAAGTGGCTGCCATGGCACAGGAAAAGCTGGGTGTCTCCTGTGAGCTCATCGACCTTCAGACCATTTTGCCCTGGGACAAAGAGACCATTTGCAAGGTACGATGTGAATGCACACATTTGAAGAGGTATTTGCTCTTAATGGGATGGTTTACCCCAAATGAAAAATGGTCATTTATTTACCATAGAAGCTATATGACCTTCTTTCATGAAGCACAGGAGGAGATATTTTCCGGAAGCTGCTGTTTTCTAAACAATGAAAGTGAAAGGTTATTCAGGCTTTTGACCTTTTAAAAAGGACAAAGAAGTACCTTAGAAGTATCATTCCTATTTATACTCTATGTAGGGGAAGACATTCAGCTAATAATTGTTGACATTCAGTTGTTTTTTGTTTTTTTTTTATGAAAAGAATGTACTATATTTTAGTTTATTTCATATTTTGTATTTTTAGGGGATTTTATACTACTAAATTATAGTTATGATCCATTTATTAGCTGTAAATCACCTTTTTGCATAGACCTGAACATGAAATTTCACACACACATGAATGCTTTGGGACACAGATTTGAGTTTGGTCTCTTTTTAAAGAAGACACGTGGCAGATTATTGCCAATTTATTATTAAAAAGTGAAAAAAGTGAAAAAAAAAAGTTAACAAAGTGTACGTTTATTAATATGAGAAATGCATATTACTAGTTTTACATTTTCTATGAAATATATATTTTTCAAAACACGTTTTACTCTAAAACGTGAGAAAATCAAAGCCAGAAATTTAAACCGGTTGTGTTCCATCCAAATTTGAGGTTGATTTCTAAAAAATTACTAATAAATTGAACACAATGGCCAATCAGAGTTGTTTAAGAATCCACTCAAAATGCCAGAGGGAAATGCTGATGTCGTCACATATAATTAATAGGATTATAATTATTATTATATTATTATTATTATTATTATATAATACATTATAATTAATAGGATTATAATTTATAGGACCTGGGTATTTAGAAAACCCTACGTACGGCCCTGATATGCAAGAATACTAGTGATTCTATATGTTCCATTATATTTTATAGTCTTGCATATTCAATACTAATGCAAGACTAGTCTTACATGTCACTGTTTATAACAAAGAGCGTTCATCCTTTGCTGGGACGCCTAAAAAAATATTGGGGGAATAAATTAAGAGTATACCCACTTCTCCAGGCACCACTACATCACTGAGTATAAGCATAACGTTTACTAAATATTAAATTTAATTTACAGACTGAAAAACATTTTTGTCCTGTTTTCTAACAGTTTGGACTTTAATATAAAGAGAGAAAACCTGCACTTAACCTTTTCACAGGCATTTTGTTTTCATAGTTCGTCAGATATCGTGATGTATCATTATAGGATTGTCCAGCAATATATCGATTATCGCAGAATTGCTGTATCATGGTATTATCGGTACCGTGAGCCATGCATCATATCGTATCGTGAGGCACCCTGTGATTCCCACCCCTAGTCATGAGAAAATAGAGTTGTCAAAATAAATTAGTTGTAATTGCTTTATGGTGGCGCTTTTCATTGTATGATAATCTCCCAAAAATAGAACTGATCTAAGAAGTAATCGCAGTGTAATAGAGTAGGATGTCTTATTGAATCTTTGCGGTAGATTATTGTTTTGGCAGTGAGATCAGGGAGATGTAGATCCTCATGGGTTGTTTGTTGAAAAGCAGCTTCTTAAATAAACATTAAACCCATTAAACGGCCTCCATGAAACTCAATAGTGTGTTTACAGTAAAGCACTACACACTGTTCACCGTTCTGTTCAGAAACCGCATGGGGGAAATGTTTTTTGACTTTCCCCTATCAATTTGTTCCTTATCTCCTTTATTCCCTCCACATACGTGCTGTAACAGTGTTTGGATGTTGCACACGGGCATTGGATTAGATCACAATATCAAATCGAGTGTCTGCATGTCTCAAATGTTTTCGAATCTTCACTTTTCTGGTGTACGCAGGTGTATTTCATCACATTCACTGTAGACATGATCAAACACAGTCACACAATAGCTGCTGTTTTATTTCAAACCATACAATCTAGTTTAAAAGTCTGTTTTTTTGCTGTCTTTACAATAAATACCATTTGGTTTGCTAATGTAATGCAGAGATGTCAAGCGTTCAGTGCTTTTGGGGCCGCGGTAAATCGTGTGCCGTTGTTTGGTAGCAGTGTAGAGAGTGACTTTTTGTAATTAAACAATTTGCAATAAAATGGAACAACTGAAGCAATTGAAGAGCATGGTTTGTTCATGACCCAAGAAAATGCAGTTGTGTTCTATTAACTTCAATAATAATCAATATCAAAGCGCAGAGCAGAAACATTTTGAATCCAGATGTGCATCGAGCTTCACTGAGAAAAGCAAACAAGCATGCAGATCTCTGAATGCTCAATGTGTTTGTTGTTGTTGTTGTGGGACCGACAGATGAACGCATTGACTATTCCAGTAAATAAAGACGTAAAACAAAGGCCGATATTTGAAGGTTTATGATCAATGTAACATGCACTTATTAAAAAAGTAAAAAGGCACAAACCAGAGCTTGTTTTGCAGCATGTTTGTTCATTTGACAATGTTTAATGTCTCTGTGAATAAGATTAAAAAACAGAAAAACAAATTCTGTACCACTTGCATCCTCAAACAGTGTTTGTATGTTTACAGAATACTTTAAATATGGCACATATACAGACAAATGTTATGATATTTTGTCTTTCTGTGTCATTTTGGTGTTTGACAGCCTCAGTCCTCATTCACTGTCATTTTACTGAAATGCTGAATATGCTTAATTCACCTTTAGTGAACTGAGGCAGAGCAAGAAAGAAGCTTTGGAGCAAATTATGGCATTTCATTTAAGATAGTATTAAAGGGGTGGTATAAATGCCCTTTTCACAAGATGTAAAATAAGTCTTTGATGTCTCTGGAGTGTGTGTGTGAAGTTTGAGCTCAAAGTACCCCACAGATATTTTTATACAGCATATTAAAATTGTCACTTTTTGAGGGTGAGCAAAAACGCAGTTTTTGCGTCTGTCCCTTTAAATGCAAATGAGCTGCTGCTCCCGGCACAGGGGGCGGAGCTTCGAGAGCTTGTGTCCTCTCCTTTTACCTCACACACATGCACTGAAAATTTCTAAAACTTTTAGCCTTTTATGTTCAAACCGGAGTCAGACAATGATGAGAGACTCAAGAAGAAGTGACAACATGTAGAAGCAACAGGACATTTCTGAATGGTTAGTTGATGCATTTATGAGCTTATATAGTAATCCTCTAGTCATTGATTTGCATATTCTGTCTTGATAATCTATAAATCGTGTTACGGGGGCGGGGTTTATGTAAATTTTAGGGTTTGTGATATCACTAACCCGGGAGGAATGTTGTGTAGTCTCTACCAGCCATTTGTTGTAGTCCTTAAAAAGCAATTTCTTTAAAAGCAAATATCTCCCTTTGCTTTGAACTTTGAGCGTCGTAACTTTGCAGATGTTGTTTATGCTCAAACAGCAACATTACACACCAACTAAAGTTAGAAAAGTGAAATAATCAACCACCCCTTTAAAGATATCACTACATTATACGGCTACATAATAGTATTACACACAGGGTTTGACATTAAAGGTGCATTGCGCAACTTTTCATGTTAAAAATACCTGTTTTTCTATCCTATACATGCTTAAAGAACTGCCTGATGGGCTGAATGAGCCCTTCTCTGCGCACTGAGGTTGCCTCTATAATCCTGTACAGTAAAATATATAAGAGGGATTCGGGCTCGAATTTGAGACTGGGCGTGACGTCATGCGCGTTCACGCTCATGTCTCGCAGGTTCTCGCCGGCGCCGCCATTCTCCGCATCAGCGAAGACAACTCGTGCGTCGAAGGTAGAAGATGGATTCAAAGAGACCGGCTTGTAGTCCATTCCAAACCCCAATGCAAACTCCATGTAAAGTAAAGAAAAGAAAAATTGTGTCTAGTGCCACCAAAAGGTCCAAATTGGAGTCAGACAGGCGTCGGAGTAAGACGAGAGTCAACCTCGGGAAGGCTTTCAACAAATGGAGAGATCTCCGGTCTGCTCTTGGTCTCAAACGGGATCCTCAGTTGGCTTTTTTTCTTGATAAAACGGTAAGATATAGCCCAGTCTCTAATGTTTGATACGGCCAATCTATGTATGACAACAAATGACGATGCGTAAAATGTGTAATGCTTTAACGTAAGCTAGATACATGTTCAATCAGAATTGGTTTTACTACCATTGTTAGTGAACAGTTTCATAAACTAGGAATTGTGTTCGGAAGAATAGTACAACATGAAACATAAAACACATCCAATAAAAGATGCGTGTGCTCCATGAGTGTGCACAACTCTGGTTGCAGTTTCGCTTGTCGCCAGAGGGGGCGTAGTTCTGCAAAAACTCAGAGACTTGCGTTTTGCACCTTTTAACACCTGCCAACCCAGTAAATGTGTGTGTACCGTAATTCCTCAAATAAAGGCCGGGGCCTTTATTTACCTGAACTGCAGATGGTAGCCGGCTTTTATTTGAAGCAGGCTTTTATTAGAGGCAGGCCTTTATTTCTAATTCGCGATCCCCGCCCGCCCGCCAGCCAAGTTTCCATGGTGACGCGTCATGCTTGGCACGTGTTCACCACAGCCAAAATAGCGCTGTATGACAGATGTAGCGCTTTTATTTCTAAATATTAACAAACTTGCTTACCATGTCATCAACTATCTTCTATTCTGACTCTCAAATCCGTGTAAGTGAGTTTGTTTTGTCGTTTAAAACCCTTTATAAATGATCTTGATCTGTAACGTGAGATGGTCATCGCAGTTCGGAGATTCCTGTTGTATTTGTTAAGTTACAGCGCGTGAATTCTTCAGTTTCTCCCGAAATACATGAAAGTAAGTGGCCGGTGAACTGGGAGAAGAATAGAGTAAACTTTATAGTTACTTACACTGTGTATCTGATATGAATATACACAGTGACACAGATACCCATTAACCCCACTAGATGTCCCAAGAAGAGCTTCAGTTTTAACTTTAGGACTCTTCACAAGCTTTATAAATCACTGGACGATCTC